CTATCCTAGATATGTCTTTGAATTCTACCAAACTCACTTTGCTGTTTGGTTTCTGTAATTATTTGCCTTAAATTAGATATTGTGCATTGTTACGGAACACAAAAACATGAACTTACACAGACGTGAATTTACCACCAAGTGATTTTAATTTTCACTTCGATTCAGTGTGCCATGTTGCCAGTGGACAAAAACGAAATTCCCAAAATAGAGACAAACCGATCTACTAAAAGCAATTATTGCAATTTCATTTTGGTACCTAAGTTTATGCTCTCTCAACGCAAACAATCACACACAAATATACATGCTTTTACGTGGAGTTCAAGAGAGCAAAAAGTTCAATCAAAATGTTCAAAGTAAAATTTAAATTATCAGAATGAATTTACAATGTTCTTTTTATTTACGCCAATTTCGACATCTCACCTTGTTTACAAATCCACTTGATAGCAAAACACTATTTGTGCATTGAATAGAAAACAATTTACGGCAACGATTTTCATCGAGAGGAAAAACTGACAATGATAAATCTTTTAAAATTACTTCTACTTCGTTTACAAAGCTGATTTTTTTGTTATCAACTACAGCGATAACAGTGAGAAAATTGCATTCGATTTTATTATATGATAAACAGTTAATGCTGTTAACTAAGCCTCTCGATTTCTCTCGAATTCGATTGATTCGTATTTGAAAATTATTCATAACGCTAATAATCTCATCGATGCATGAGTCAACCTGGGACCAAATAAATTTCGTGGAAATATATTTTATGAGAGATAACGAGCAACTTACATTATTCGAAGAAAATCTATTGCTTCTGCCTGATTTGAAACTATCCTTTGGGAGTTTTTGTTTCAGACATTACCCAATAGCTCGACTTTCTTTTTGGGCCGGAATGTGAATCATGAATTCAAATTCGGCTGAATTAACGAACAAATTGGTTATCGTTTTCCTCTATATAAAATGGAATTATCGAAGTTTTGTGTTCAAAAAAGAAGATGGCTTTAAGAAAGTGATGATACGAAAAAGTGGCTTCTGTTTGCGTTCGATTACATTCTTGGGACTTCCAAAAGTGGGTGGTTTTTTTTTCATTTGGCGAACCATTCATCGTAGATTTGTTGAAATTTCAATATTTATCTGACCGGCAAACATACACATACAAAATTCATCGAATGAACGATGCTGATTATTTTCAAGCGTGCAACTTTATTAACAAAAGTGCACATGAAATTAATTAAAAAAATGTTTTACGTATATTTTGGAAATCCAATACAGATCTACTAGTCTAATATATACATTAGTTGCATTTAAATTCTTAACGGTATGTTTGGAAGTTATCAGTTTAGTTTAAATCCGCTTGCGTTGATGGCACATTGATTTTCTTAACATTGACGTTCACATATAAAACCATACAAAGAATTTCAGGTTACATGTAGTAAAGGTTCAATGTTTTAAGTTATGCGGAAAATCTTTTCGAAGAAATTGAATATATATCTCATATAAGCATTTCGTTTTATCCGATGATTTCTACCGCTGGGTTAAAAGTGCTTGTGCACAAAGTTAAAGTGGATTAAAAAGATGACTTTCATAAGTATGATAATTTGATGGTAGCGGTAGATTCGTGCTGTTTGCATTTATATGATAATAAACATGCTCACTTATCCACAGATGCTATTTGGCGTTTATTGTGCTTTCTACTCCATCTCATACTGGAATGTAATCACGGCACCTATTACACATTGAAATATCTCAACTCTTTAGTCTCTCTCTCCCACCCTCTTTCTCTCATATTGTCTGCAAATCAATATGGTTCAAAATTTTGGATCGAAAGTTCATGGTGCTCGTCTGCGAGGATAAGGAATCAAAGTTTTTCGTTTTTTTACAGAATAAATTTTATTCAAAGTTTTTTGAACCATTGCGAATCCATCGCCATTTCTACCACGTCAAATTAAAATCTATTGTTTTCCACACCCAACCCGTTTTCGACTTTTCAACGCAATGGATCGTTGCGAGTTACTACTACACAACTGACAACAAATGGCGACAAAACTATTTTAACTGTCATAAGAAGTTGCAGGAGGAAACAATTGCATTTAATTCTTATTTCACTACTTTGTAATGCGATTTCAGTTTCATTGCGCAGTTCAGAACTTGAAAGTTTTAATCGTGAAAAATCGTTCAATTCTCGCATGGGATATATGCACTCTTTCTCCTACCTGCTTTACTCAAGTTTTCCCATTCAATGGTACACACAAAACTATTCCGATTATCGTGCACTTTTATTCACGCTTTCTCTGTCTTTCTCTCTCTCTCTCTCTCTCTGCCATTTACAGCTACTTTAATTTTTAATGCAGCTTGTAATCGTATGACTTCTGGGGATATGCTTATGTCGTTTATAGACTTTTTTGTGTGAATAGATTGAACAATTGGTTGAAAATTCAAACACGGGCGACGGCTGTGTGTTTTTATCGACTTTGTAGCTTCAGCGCTCGCTCCTCACTCTCTAACGAACAAAAATGTCTACCGGTAAATGTTCCACTTTTATTGGATCGTAAAATCGACTAATCAGAGATTTTTATAAAAAAAAAAGTCGTGTGAATAATAACGTAGATGGCATCGTAAATTTTCGATTTCATTGGATTTGTGCCAATTCTCAGTCTCATAAAACGCATATTCAATGTGCTAAATGATGCCCAAATGTTCAACATTTTTTTTCTCGTTTGTCATAAAACTTTTACACCGTCGATAATTGCAAATTTTCTGATGTTTAAATGATTTCTGAATGCTGGAGAAAGTGTAAAAAAAGCTTTAAGCAATCGTTTTCAAGATTGTTGAGTTGTAATCAATCACAGAAAAAGGCTCATTTTCAAAAAAGTTTTCATCATAACACATTTATAGTAATCAAACAAATTCAATGGATTTTATTAATAAAACAAAAAAACACAAATAAACGCAAGAAATTTGTAATTAATTTTACAATAGTCGTTTATCATTTTTTTTTTGTGCATCCGTTCTACATCAGCGACAAAACCACAATCAAAATCAAACAAAACAAATTGGGTTATTTATGTGATGCCACTACCACAGTAGCATACAAAATGCAAAAAAAGAAACACTGAAATTAACGAAATGAAATTAAACAAAAACTTACCTGAAAACATTGAATCGTACCAAACATTTCACCTCGATTTCTTCGGTCGTAGTTTATAGTAAAATGTGCCGAAAACATTTTGGACGCTTTTTCCTGCGATCACAACTGTGATTCGCTGCATGTCATCAACGGTAGCAATAACTGTATAACAGTTATATAGACGCACGCCACAAGCCGGAAACTCATCGGAACACTACCGCTTGCGCAAAATGAGTTCTTGAAGTTGTTGATGTTTTAAAAGTTGGTAGCTGAAGACTCAATTACAATCTGATTTCGAAATTCACTTCGTAAAAATGACTGTATGCGCGATTTTTTCTTCTTTCTTTTAGTTTTCGACGATTTCAATCATTGTACTTTGTTGCCGAATATAAATAATTAATGTAAAAGGATTGTCTCATCATGTATATTGTATACAAAACTCTCAGACATTGCAAAAGGAAAACCACAACAACCGGAAGATACACGGTAACATTACCGTTTGTTATTCAGTCAGAAGTACAAAAAAAAAAACAAATCTTTAGCAAAACGTTGACAAGTTTGGGCCGCGGCCGCGTACTTTCATGTTTACCATCCAAAACATTGCTATCTGAACATCACGAAAAATGCAATGACAAAGTTTTCAAGTTTTGTAAAGCGGTGCTTGCGAAGTCGGAATACCTTACATTTGATATTTCAACATTTACATAAACATCACAAGTTCCATTCACAAACAAGCCAAATATCTCATGCGGTCGAGGAATTCTGGTAGCTGATTTCAAGGTGCAACGTGTCCCCATCTCAAAAGATGTACTGTTTCAAATTACTTTAAGTCGAAAAGTTTCACTTCATTTATTTATTCGTATTTACGTGTATGCAGTTTTCGTTAGTGGAACAAGCTGTAAATATTTTATGAAACTTTGTGCATCATTATTACTTTCCAGCGTGTAACAAAATATAATTTCATCAAGACACAATAACATGGCACAACAAAAACTGTTCAACAATGGTAATTTGTCTATTACTTTTGAGCGAGCAGAGCCTGAATGAGAATGCTTGTCGTGTTTACATTTCTTCAAATGTAATTTACACCCATTTTAGGAACAATTTCTTTGTGTATTGTCGAAAAATCCTTTACTTGCCGAAGACAAGGGTTTGCGATGTCAAATAGAGAATGAAAACAATTTTCACACTTTGGGACAGGAAAATCATGCGATGAATAAACTATTCAATTAGAAGATGCATGAAACCAATTTATGCTCTTTTGTTATGCGTTGTCACGTAAAACAGATATTTTCGAATGGATTTGATAGAACACAGAAATAGATGGAACGGAACATACAAAACGGACTCAATTCATCCATCCAGTGATGGCATTCGTATTTCCATAGCAAGTACATTGCTTGCAAGAATCAAAATGTAAATATTGGCAGACAAAATGTATGTCTTTGTAATGACGTTTGTCGATGTCTGTCGATGTAGATACGATGGAAGAACAATGTATCTACTGTTGCGATGGGACCTTTCAAACACTAATCGAACGACATAAGACGTAAACAATACAAATTGGTCGATACATATCAACCCACCGGGCGCCGAAAAGGTTTCCACTGTGACACATGAACGGTCGAATTAAGCAAATTGAAAATTGTTTTAACTTCTCTTTTCGGATGATAGTACCGAAGGGAATTAGGAAATGTACATAGATTCCCATACATAAGAGAATCATCAATAGCTGAAAAAATTTTGACGAAAAAAAAATGTTTGCCAATTAATTAATTATTACATATCAATTCTATTTATTTATCATATGAATCGCATAGCGACGTCTTACATTTATGTAGTCTATTTAGTTGAAATAATCAAAGTAGATACAAAATGAAATTTCCAATCGTTTAATACAATACATTCTACATGCTTCATTCTATTTTATTCATGCAAAATGCCTTTTTTTCTGTACAATCAGTAATGGATTAAAAATATTTCCACATACAATCCAATACACTCTTTTCATTCTCAAAATAAATATCCAAATTCTTTGACTTCTTACAATTTTGTGCGGTAAATGTTCAAAATTTCAATTCTTATTCTTACAAAATAATATTTAAAATCTTATTATATGAAATGCTCGGGGGGAGGGGAGATGTAAATTTTAGTTTTCATCATGGATGTTGTCAATCACTGAAAATACATAGGCCAAACAACCGAATCGGATCAATGAGCCATGAGTTAGAATTGCCGAACCTTCCCATCCCTTCTCCAACGGCGGATACGCTTTACACTTACAAGTTGGCAGTTCTGGTGCAGCCATTCTGTGGACGAAAAATTTGAAAAACAAAATAAATGAACAAATTATGATTAATTTTTATTAATTGATTCAATCTCATTCAATTCAATGATTTACCTAGCATTTTTGCTCAGACCATATTGGATTCGATTAACGCCACGCTTTTTATCAATGATATCCCGAATATTTTTATAAAACCCATTTATATCCTGCAATCGATTCTCATTGAGTTCTTGATGTTCTGTTAGATCCAGCGAATAGATTTGACCATTCACTTCTGTGCCGTGTTCCGAATAATTCAGTAGTTCGTATGATTTTGTTACCTAACAGCCGAAAAGGAAATATTATTTTATTAAAAAAAAAAATCTCAAACGTGAGTGTTCTATACTCTTACTTCATCGTAGAAAATAGTTGCATGATGTAACGATAGTCGAACACAATTGTGTGCGTTTTTCATTTGAAGATCACAACCGGGTCCAGATCCAATTTTCAAATTTCTGTATCGCATGAATAAACTGTTGTCATTTGAACTTGAGCTTGTGTACCATTGTTTGCCAGCCAATATGTCACCAACCGGTGTTAAAACCGCTCGAGCTCGAACTTTCGATTCAAATAATGGTTTTTCCAATCGTTTTGCGATAGCCAGAGCACGTTCTTTATCATCGGGAATATTTTCGAAACCGTTCGCATAAAAAAATGTACGTACATCCAATTTTGGAAACGGAGGAATTGGATGACCAACACCAGCAAACGCTGGATCATTGTTTTCACATTCGTCGGACGATGAGCTATCGCTAGCGAATTGTTGAGCAATTTTAGCAATGTCACTCTTCGACAGTATTTGACTAGGAAGCGTAATTTTGACCGGTTTAGCTTTGAGTGCATCTTTAATCGCTTTGTCAGCATGTTCATTTTGATATTTTGCAACCAAATCCGGGCTTTCTTTGAGTATTTGTTGAAGTTGAACAAGCGCAAGTCGTTTGATGACATTATTATCAAGACCGTCTAATTGTTCATCGATTATTTCACGTGAAATTGTGCCATTTGTACCATTCGATAGTTTTGATTTGAATACCTCTTCAGACAATTCCAATAAATCATCGCATTCGGCGCCAAAACCTTTTGTACTCGTATTCCGTTTGCGTTTACGATTCGATTTTTGTTTATTCGTATTATCATCGTTTGCCATTGAATCTGGCAGTTGATTTAAAGCATCGTTACTCACAAGCGGTTGGTCTTTCTTGCCATTTTCAGCAATCGCTGGACTTTCTTCAATGATTGACGATTTATTTTCAATTTTTTCAATAATTTTTTCATCACTTTCCATCGGAGTTGTTTCAACAATATTTTCAATCACTTCAACTTCTGACATCTCTTTTACTTCAATCAATCCATTCACTTCTTCTGCGACGTCATTGCCATCTACATTTTTCGGTGGATCGTTTAATTCTTGTTCAATGCTTCTCTCGAATTTCCGGACTTTTTCATTTGCTTTTTTAAGTTCTAACAGGTCTTTGTCAATAACATTATAAACATCGGGAACATTTACAACCGGTGGAAGACCGTGATTGCGATAAACGCGCTCACAACGTAAGACATCACGCAGTGACGGAAGTAATGGCGGCGGATTTTTATAATGGAATTCAACCATTGTAGGTATTTCGGCACAGTTTCGTAATTTTGGCTTTACCCTAAATCGAAACGGTGGATTCTTACGGTGTATGCGTCGCAAGAAATCCGTTTTAATAGTTTCATGATCGGCACACGTGCTAAATTCGTTCCATAGTTTGATACGTTCCGTTGCTGATATTGACGTCACTAATTTCCAGTCCTGTGGAAATTCGTTTGGAATTTGTTTTAACATTTTGAAAATTGCCCTGATGAAATGAAAATACTAACCACATATTGTTCTGGGTGATTGGGGCACATCCAAAGCGTTGTTGGCAAAGCAGTCAATGGTGGATCCAAGCAATCCTACAATAATTATTCAAATACAATTAAATGCCATGCTTGATATTGACAGTGACATTTAAAGCAACTGCAAATGATTTGTTGTTGTTGTTGTTTTACCTGATGAAAGAATAGTGGACAATAGTCGCATGATATTAACGGTGCTTTTTTACACGATTTACGACAGTAGAAACACGTTGCCGCCGGCAATGGAACCAAGCCTTGAGAATCCAATTCATGTCGAACACGATTTTGTCCATTACGATTATTGTTCTTATTCTTTGATTTATTCGACTCATTTGACACTAAAAAAAGCATAGATTTTTAAATAAACATTTGCTGATAATAGAACAAACTGACACATTTTGAATTGAAAAAAATAAATAAATTTAACTATTTTGACAGTTTTGATTCACCTTTTTCGTCGCCTGGAAATCGTGGAAAAATATTCAATTCACGTGGCAATTCGAATTGTCTTGGATTCAATATAGATGCGGCTCGAATCAATTCATCCAACGGTGTTTTTAAATCGACCACATTTTCGTCACCATTTTGTACTGTTTTCTCTTTATCATCGTTGTCAACATCGACATTTAATTTATCGGTGTCGTTTTCGCTACAATTATCTAGTATGTTTGATGTGTTTTCTGCTTGAGACTCTTGTTTATGTTCCATATTTTCCATTTCAGATGAATTATCGTTAAAAATGGCTACAATTTGTGTGTCGTCTGTATCTTTTGTTGGCTCTTCCAATTCCGTTATCACTTCTGTTAACGGTGCAGTGCCAGTTTCATCACTTTGTACCACCTCTGTGGTTGCTGTCACTTCAACGAATGGTGTTTGTTCATCACTTTCACCTTTTTCGCTAATATTTGTTGGTATATTTTCATAGTTGTCAGTCGGTACGGTGCCGTTACTATATCGTTCACTTATACTACGTGAAATTTTCATATTAATATCTCGATCGCTACTCAAACTATTTTCACTGCACGATGATACACGTGATGCATAACGTTTCGGAACGGCCCTTTGTTTGCTACCATCGCTTGAATTCGGAGTCGATGGTCGTGAGTCTTTAAATTTTTGATTTTCATTGTTCATCATCATAGTTGCATTGGTTGTTCGTTGTTTTTGTAACATGGTGCACATATGACATAGCCACAAGCCAGCCGGTATATCCTCCTCCGATAGTGGTGGATCGCTAAAAGATACACAAAATGGTGAGTGCATTTATTTAAAAAAAAAATCAACATTTCAAGATGATATTCTTACTGGCACGTTAGATGGAAACTCGCGGGGCATTTGTCACAACAAATTAAATCGCCACCTTCGCGACACGCATCACAACAGTCTCGATTGTGTCCACGTCCCGGACGACGATAATATGGATGCGGTTGCTTTTTATTTGCTTGGCGTGATGTTTCTCGACTGTCTGGTGGCCGAATCAATGCCTGTATCAGCTATTTATGTGTGTACAACAAGACAAGGTAATATCAATTAATTATTCAACGGATTCAGAACGTATGCAAACAAAGAAAACTTATGATAATATTCCCTTTTGAAATTATTATTATTACTTACTGGCATCAAACTACCCGATGAACAAAAATCAAACTCATTTTTCGACATTATTCCTTCTTTTTTTCTATCAATTTTATCGGCATATAGAGAGATTTCGATAAATACAATATTTAAATGCACTAAAAAATGGTAAATAAATTGCCAGCAATTAAATTAAACGAAGCTGTATTGTAGAAATGTTTCCAAAAAGTCAAACACAAAACCTTCGTTTTGCTCCTCAACTCGGATGTGTATTTTATACTGTATATAATATGAATACGAGTGTATTTGAAAGACGGAACAGAAATTCAAAATTGACAACTAAAGTCAAAAGCATATTTGCTTCAGCAACTAAAAGAGCGTTAGACAGCATTGATGGTGCGTGTGTGTGTGTTCGTATATGTGCTGCTATACGGTTATTTGACATAAAACGAACATTGCTTTCCTTCTTTGACAGCTTCTGTCAAAAACAACAAGCCAACAGCAATACGCGCGTTATTTTCTGTCAAACTAGCGGCTTTTTTCAACAATTTTCAAAACTTTCGAAAGAATAGAGAAATATTCATTTACAAACAATTTACGTCAATTTCCGAAAAATATCCGCTTGATTTAGGTAGATTTTTCATTCTTAACATTCAATAATAAGTTTAAACAATAAAACCCATAAACAAACAAATTTCAGTTTGAATTCTGAAATCCCTATCGAGAGGCTGCGTACTATATTGTAGAAAAGAAACTCTTAAATAATTCATAAGAAATGTTCAATGTTTTCAAAACTTTAAGCCTAAAATATAGAGAAAAATTCATTATTTCAGACACAACTTTTTAACGAAAGTCTTTCTTCTCTTAAAACAACGTCTCATACCATTTAAAATGACATTTATGTTGACGTTAAACTTGTCTTTCGTATACATTCGACAATGATCTGTCATTCAATAGCATTTGATGCGTTGAGTCATTTAAAAGAAACGAAAAAAATATAACGTACTAGAGCACCGTATGTGCTGATGCGTTGCGTATGTGTTCCAAGGCATCCAAACGCATATGTGAGTAATAAATTTGTGGTTCGTTCGCTGATTATTTGGTTTTGTATTATAAGCTTTGTCGTGTCAGTCGTGTGCCGTTCTTTGCGTCAAAATGTCTTCCCGTCAATCGTTTCTCTCGTAGTCGTAAATATATGTTGTATGTGTGATGTTGTTTCGTTTATGTGTACAAAAAGAACGAATGTAATTTGCCAATTAATTATTGAATTCGGGATATTACAACAATATTTGTTTCTGTTCATCTGTCGGTTTAACTTTGGAGAAAAAAATAATCAAACTTAAATCAGCTGTGCATACTGAAAGGAAATACCGATTTTTTCATCACTTTGAAACATCGACATCGAAATAAAGACTGAGTATGGTGTGATTTTAACGAATTAAAAAAGGAAATGATGATTAAATAAAAAAAAAGCGAAAAGGTCAAGCAAATGTACGAAAATATATTGAAATAACTGAAACTCAAATAAATTTGTGCAAGAGTGAAAATTCAGAATTGAGTTCTTATTCGGCGAATGAGATACCAAAATTGAGTGCATGTGTAAATAGAAAAACAGAGGTACCAAGACAATTGAAATATATACATATATCGACATCGATAAAACTGTATCAAACAATCGCAACTTGTGTACGTTTGAGTGGTGTGTCGGGGCCGATGCCAATGAAAATCAAGCAAACAAAAATACACGTATAATAAATATACAAAAAAAAATCGCGAATCAGCGAATTTGACTGTTTAGTGGCAACGACAAGGATTTTTCACTCAAAATTTATCAGCAATTTTTCTTTTGCACTGTGAAAACTAATTTGCGCAAACTATCATCAACGACGGTAATATTTTCAGGAAGAAAATATCCTTAAGTTTTTGTACAAGGCGATAGTATAGAAAATAAATCAAAAAGTTTTCATTCGAACCGGAGAAGAAAAAACAAATAAAACAAGAGACGATGGCAGGTGCATATGATCATTTGTTCAAGCTGCTCATAATCGGAGACAGCGGTGAGTGGGCGAGGCATTTGCCTTGTTCTTTTCTATTTTTTTTTTCTTTTTTTTTTTCCAGTAGTGTGTTTTATCGCATTTTCCTCTCGTCGAACCGCATATTCATAATTCCATTTGTATACAAATTGTTGAATCGATGATTTCGCATTCAAACAGAATACACCGGATGATGTATCTTTCTTCATTCTATGTCAATATTGATTCTCACTCTCTGAAATAGTCAAAAATTTGGATTTTTTTGTTCTGTACAATGAAAGCAGGATATGCCCTTTTGATATTCTATGTTTTTTTTGTTGGTTCTTGTTGAAAGTTGAAATGTTAAAACATTTGCTTTATTAATTGCCCGCACATTCGAACCCATCGACCGTCGTCAAATCACACTCTGTCTCTTTCGCTCTTTCATTGGCTAATATTTCATGCTATTTTCAGGGAATTGACAGACAAAATGATCTAGCAATTATAATCTGTATCGTTTACATTCACAAAAATTACACAGTTTTGTTAGTGGCATAATATAACATACCGCACACAAACATACAATCTTTTAAGTTTCACATACTCATTCATTTTGAGTTAAGTTATCGGCGGCGGTGACAACAGTTGTTGTGAGACATTGAACAAAAAATTTATCGTAATGTATGTAAAGTGTAAAGAATTTTAATGTATGGTTTTGTGTTTGCCCTTGATAAGCGCAACGACAAAAATTCATTGTTAAACATTTTTCCGCTGCTTTTTCATTGTGTGTGTGTGTTCCATTTTACGAACGACATGAGTACATATTTTTCAAAAACTAAAACCATGGACCCATATATGGTTGAACCACGTAACGTAACTAAAAAATCAATTTTCACTACTCTCATGTGAACAATGTGCAAGCAAAGAACACACAACGATCGAATCAAATCGCCAGCACGTTTAGTCACATGTACCAAAACGCGCGACTGTTATATAGTATAAAATGCATTGGCGATGATTCATACACACTCTGTACGATTGAATAAGACAAGCGACTACGACATTGATAACTAATTTCACTTCGCCGAAATGTGATTTTTTTTTTCCATCGACAATTGATAATTGTATTGGAAGAATATCATTTCTCTTTCTTGATCGATTATAAGATTTATGATTTTGTTAATATCCTCTTACATTAATATATAAAACGTGTCATCATATTGGCTTTAAATTTCATTCTCGTAATGCATTCTTTTGCATATAAACGCATATATAAGCAAAAATGGTTGTTTTCATTTTCCATTTCAATTGTGGGTGTTTTGTTTTTCGTTTTTGCAATCATAAGCTCAACCGTCCAGTTCACTTGAGCTGACAACACACACAATATAGCTCGTGTGATGCATCAATTAAGCGAGAAAAAGATAGAGAAACACTGAGATACTTTGCTTGGTTTGAATTCTGAACGAATTTGAAATAGCAAATAGCAACAGCGCACATAACAATTTTTGACTTCGTAACGAGAGACGAGCAAAGAAAAGAGAATGGGAACACGTAAATTGATATTATTATGGAATGTTGTGTTGCGATTGATGCGATTCTTTATTTTTTTATTATTAGATTGTATTTACAAAGGGTCACAGCATCAGGCACTTTGCATTCTATTCAATGCTTATTGAACTAAATACACACTGTTTAACCATTTGCGGCTTTTGTTATTATTACGATGACGACAACGACACTTCAATTTTTCTCTTTGTGAAGAAGAAATCTTCATTTTTCTCTGTCTTCTTCTTTCAATCTCGTTCGTTGTTCATGCATTTTCGTTTGTCCAGTTATTCGTGACACACCACGTGGTAATTGATATTGTTTTCGCTTGGATTTTATTGACTTAATTTGAATCAAAGTAACGATTTTATCAACCATTCCGTTTCGCTTCGATGCGTCTTCTTTGTCCAGATTTCACTGTTTTTAATCTCTTTTTCCTTTCAATTCAATTGCGCAAATAAAATTGGGCTGTAAATTTAGTGTGTAGCATTTATTTTCTACGATTTTTATCGACAGTACGAGAGAGAAGAATACGAGCTATTTTAAATTATTATGGAACATATGGCTGCTATAAACATAATTGACCAAAAATAGTTTTACTATGAAAAAAAATAACGGCTTATTCATAGTTGTTCTGATGAAATTTTAACACAACAATTCCGAAAAATGGAATTTATATTGAATCGCATTTATGGACTCATATAGCGAGCTCGTTTATCATGAGTAATGTAAATTCATGTAATTCATAAATCTTATATCGCATAATAATAAATAAATGCGTAAAAATTGGAATACATTTGAAAAAAAAAGTGGATTTTCTCTCTTTTGAAATATTCGTGCTCTCGTGTCATGCCCTTATCAACATACAGAAATGGGAAAAAATCCAACGCATATATCACCGCATATACAATGCTGAAAATCAATTCAAACCACACAAATTAATTCGGAATGTGCGTTGTTTTGTTCGGCATATAGTACACATAACATTTTAATTGGATTAAGCGTGTGTTGCATTCCGGGAGCTCATTCGATGCGCGGCTTTCATTTCAATTGTTCGTCTGCGTCACTGGTTTAGGTCGGTTCAAGTCTTTAAAGGAAAATATTATATGTCTGTTATGTGTGCATCCATAAAAATTATTCTAAATTATGTTTGATGCCGGATATATCACCAAATTAATACTAAAGAACGCTATGGAATCAATTTATACATAAAGTGAAGAAATGTACATACGTATTTAAGATGAGAAAACCCATGGCGATAAAACACATTTCTGAATACTAAATTGAGATTAATTGTTCCTATATATAATGTCCGATCGAATGGATTTTAATTATTTTTTTTTTTTCGTTTACATTCAGGAGTTGGCAAGTCATCTTTACTGCTTCGCTTTGCGGATAACACATTTTCAAATAGTTATATAACGACAATAGGTGTCGATTTTAAAATACGAACCGTTGATATTGAAGGGAAACGTGTCAAACTGCAGATATGGTATGATTAACTATTCTGTGAAACACACTAACTAACAAATGCCGAAAATAAACTAATTTTTTTTTGTCAATTCTTTTCTTTTCTCTCTCTTTTTCACTTGCATCAAAAAAGGGACACAGCGGGCCAGGAGCGTTTTAGAACTATCACTAGCACGTATGTATCGTTAAAGCATTGTTCGAAATTAATTTTGCCTACGGCGAAACCAATTACAATTAACTTTCAATTCTTTCACTCGCCTTTGTTTGTGCGTTTTTTTTTATGTTGTCGTTTCAGTTTCTTTGTTTCTTTTCGTCTATAAAATTGTAATTATTTTCGCATTTCTTTTGTTGTATAGGTACTACAGAGGCACACATGGTGTTATTATAGTATATGACGTCACAAACGGTGAATCATTTGCCAACGTGAAGCGCTGGCTTCAAGAAATTGAACATAACTGTGATGTCGTCAATAAAGTTTTAGGTAATATTTTATCGAATGAAGTGACATTAGTCAAAATCAAATTGTCCTTCGCTTGAATTGAAAGACTTAAAATAATGATTGAATTTACAGAACGTAAATTTTATAATAATCGTTCTAAGCTTTGAATCGAACAAAGGAAAAAGAGATGTGCACATGTTTGCTATTATCACAAGTTAAAGAAGAAAAAAAAGTTCCGTGCATAGTACGAAATTCGTAAGCACACATGACGTCAACATTTTTATCACAAAAACTGTTCTTATTACTTTGCGAACATTATTCTGCATAAGGAATGAGTTCAGTGTATACGTTTTTTTCACTCGAATTGGAATTTTCGAGCCCGTAGGCGAATTGAGATAGATGAATTGCAAAAGAAGTCAAATAGAAAAAATAATGAAATTAAACATTCCGTAATGAAATACATCCGCTACGCTTTTTTGGCTCAATTTCATGCGTTGTTCCTTTTATTCCCATCTCATCTACTCTATTCGATGCATGTAAAGAGAGTATTAAGTTTTCCGTATTTGTTTATATTACACATTCATCTGAACGAATGTGCAAGCGTATGTTTTGTTAAGCAAAAACAAAAGTATGTTATGCCGTCAAAACACATCTCGTTTATATGATGTGTATAAAAACGGCAATGAAGCCAATTTTGTTTACTAAAAACGTTCAATGTAAATAATCATTAAAATCGTTTAATAAAGAAATGCAACATTAGATAATTTCGATCTCGTGGTATCACTTTATTTAAAAAAAACTCTTTGTTGCGAAAACAAAAATTCAATTCAAACGAAGAATAAAATTGAATTGGCTTTGTCCAATATGAAATTGCAGGCAAGAAATGTATGGCCTTAAGCGAGAAGATGATGAAAAAAAAAACCAAATGCAATAAACGTTTCATTTTATTAATCTTTTGTAGTTGGTAATAAAAACGATGATCCAAACCAGAAAGTGGTCATCACTGAGGATGCACAGCGCTTTGCCAAACAAATGGACATTCAATTGTTCGAAACATCAGCCAAAGACAACCTGAATGTAGAAGAAATGTTTCTTGCAATTACAAAAAAAGTATTGTACCACAAACTGCAATCCGTTCAAAATAAGCAAGAAAATGACGAACCAATCAAAGTAGGCAAGAAAGGATTGTACAAAAAGAAGAGCAAATGTTGCTAACAACCTTACACAATACAGTACAGCACACACACAAACACTCATACAGTCATGGTGTATATTACTACGCACTAAGAGAAATAGATAAAGAGAATAAAAAGAAGAGAAAATGCAAACGACACATCTACATTAAAATCCCATAACACACAGGAACACTTTCCATAACATTCAGTATATACATATTTTTTGGCATTTAGAACAACGAGTGCAATAGCAACAAATTTAGACAAAAAAAAAACAGTGAAATAGAGGGAAAGAAACAGAAGAATATTTTTTGAACAGAATCCAATCAACATATTTTGATCCGTTAAGAGAATGGACATATCGAGATTTGTAATTTTGTGTAGAATTGTAACAATTGAACAAATTTAACGAATACACCGTTGGATTAGAAATGAGAGAAGAGAGAAAAAAACCACCGGCATTGACAAAAACATTGCTTCAATGGTTCAATATAGGCAGTAAACAAGTATTTATTCAATTAGCGTGAGTTGTGAGTTTTTGAATGAATTGTTTTTTTTATAAAGTACATTTTTGATCAAAAAGATTTTCAATATAAAAGTCTGAATCATGGCAGTTATACACATAATTCAAGTAACATACATTTCGTATGCATTTTTTTACGTTCAACTGTCATAATTCACACTATACGCAATCTTCTCTGAAATGGCCAAAATGCATGTACATTGTACAATTCCTTCCGAGGGGCAGTTCAATGCACTTTAACATTGAGAGACGAATTCTAAAATAAAGTACAAAAATTGTATAAACGCAATAAATTGCCTACTCAAACATACAAAGAGCAAAACCATCGCAATAAACTCCGACTCCGATCGTTACTATTAATATTATTATAACAAACAACCATAAAGACGGTGGGCCAATCACCTTCAGTCAATAATATACCCAATTGATTCTATTTTGGCTGCATTTATTCCCATTTAAAATAACCTAATACAACTTGTATGCTGACATTTCGTAAACTATAACTAGTTCGCATTATAAATAAATTTATCACATTTTAAAGGTTTCTTTCGTATTCATTTTGGTTTTTAAACATTAAAATTGTAAATTATAAAATTTTCCGAGCAAAAAAATTGTCGTGAATACTATAAAATTGTATGTGTATGTGTATACTGTATTCAACTCACTCTATCTGCCATATATTTGATAAACGTATTCTGCACACTGAATTTTTCATTCAGTAAATATCACTTACGAAACAGGTGGACAAAATATATCAATAATTAAATTGGATATGCTTTCCCAGAGAAAAATTAAATTTATATCATTACTTCCAATACAAAACCTACTTCCAAATTAATCACTCTTGCAATTTATTTAATACAAAATCACGAATTTTGATATATCGAAAATTAAATTATTTTGCGTTTAGATATGTTATGTTGTTTGCCACAAAATCCTAATTTATTTATTTCGTTTGTGCATTCTTTTTTTGTTCTCGTAAAAAGTAATCATAATAGCGGAACTACTCTATGACGTTTTACTCCGACTTATCATTTTTAGGAATAAACATTTTTTTAATAGGAGTGTAAATATAAAAACTTATCGTTTATGTATGAAATTGTAAAAAAAAAAAAAACAACAACTGCAAGAAAGAATAAAAGAATAAAATTGAACAAGTATTGAATAAAAATGAAAATCAGTTTCAATAAAAAAAAAAAAAGTGATGTAGTTTTTCGTGTAATAAGGATCTATTTTCAGGCACTGAATGATCGTCTTAGTTTGGGTTTATTCAAATGTTGATGCATCACAACCATCGAAATACACTCAAGAAATGGATTACCGACGTATCCTTTGGCACACGTACAAAGTGGCACATGAAATTTGCCCTTGAATATGAATTTGAAAATATATGTTTGAAAAAACTGAATCGTAAAAAAAAACCATCAACACTAAAAAATAACAAAAATACATCGTACCTTACAAACGGCGTTTACTGCACATGGAGTTTTTGCACCACAAGCATTTTTACATTTATTTATTGAGCAAAATTGATGATTTTCACAATCGGTATCTTTCAAGCAGCTTTTACTCAAAGCCCCTGAGGTGGATATTAAAAATCCAAAGAAAATCAATAAAAGTATTTCCATTTCTTTTAAGTTTTCTCATCGATTCACAATGCCTGCTTTCCAGTTTGATACTAATTTATAGATTGTACACATTTATGTAAACAACCGTTTAAAAAATTTCTACTGTTATAAGATTTTTTCAAGATTTGACTATGTGTTCCATGTTACATGCGACTGAATAACGTAAGTTGTTGTATTTTCAAGTGAAACTTCACCAAAAATCACGGAATAGATTGCGTGCGGTGCCTGACTCGCTCTTCATTTCCGACAGCCAATTTATCAAGAATTCTCTTTCTGAGAAATACGGGGGGTAAGTTGAAACGATTTTTGATCGAAAAAAACTCATAACGCACATTTCCGACATTTTCATGAGGAAACTCATTTCGATTGGGCCGACTAAAACCTATCAAGGTTGACAAACTCATTAAATTTTCGTGTTTGATTTCAGTTAATCATATTAATGAATTCATCAAGAATGTTTTTATATAGCAAAGGGTCAATAAATAACACCTGTTTCTTCATTATTTTTAGATGTTTTTTTTTTTTCATTTTATTCTTTATACAAAGCCTAATATGCTCTTACAAAAAAATTAAAGAAAATTTGAGTTTAATAGAACTTATTATTCATACCGAGATCGGTATCATGGCAAATTGGATAAAAACATGAACAAACGAAACAATCAGAATAAAAAATATATTAATACAGTACTCAAAATCAATTAAAATGAAAACGAAACAAACAATTGATGAGCAGCTTATTACGAAAAATGTTTGAACGGTTTTGCATCTAATATCGCGTTTTCCTTCTTCTCTACTTCGTGTTATTTGTGTATTTTATTCGACGACTTTGAACACATAGAAAATCGTATGAGTTATTGAATTTTTAGATAGTGAAAAAGTATTTTTTTTTTGTTCAGTGTGTGGCAAGTCTATTTTAACCGATTGGTGTTGATTCGAATTAACTTATTTTTTCTTATAATATCTAGCGACTGGATAAGAACGCGATTGACGACAGGACACTAAGGCATCGCCAGTAAATCCTTGGGGACATTTACAAACGGCCAAATGTCGCTTCGCTTCGCAAATTGCGTTGCTTCCGCACTGACCAAGGCAGGGGTCCACGCATGAATAGTTAATACAGGCCCGACTGTCTGAGCATTCGACATCACTTTGGCACTCTCCGCGCACACAATGTGTCAATGGATTTCCGGTATATCCTGGCAAACAAGTACAAACTGCATGGGAAGATGAAAACATCGGAGACATTAATAGGATAAGATTGACTTTTTTATTATAAAAATATTTACCTGGACGCTCACGGCCAGTATTGTCGTGACCTGGTGTGCATTTTGCGTTCTAAAAAATATAAACCAATAAATACATTTCATTTGATCTTAAAAAGTATTCTTACAGTTCCGCATGGGTTGTGTGGTGAGCACAAATCCTCTGTATGGAAAAGGTAGAAAAGTTTTGCTTATTAAAATTCGATCATATGAGAAAATTCATACCAATACACAACAACACATACGTGGAGTGAAAGGTCGGCAGCTCACAAATGGATCACCAGTCATTTCGCGTGGACATGAGCAAATAGGAGTTAATCCTCTCAAATTACAGTCAGCATTTCTACCTGTTTGAATGAATAAATATTTTTTTTGGATAGGGTAAACACTGAACGACTTTCACACTACTCAATAAAGTGTGTACAATGCCCGAGATATGTTGAACAATTGAATATTTGAACGAAACTTACCACAAGCACCATCGCATGGGTTTTTGCATACGCCATAAATACAAGCTGGTCTACCCGATGGACAATCACGATCTAAAAATTTAACAATCGTTATACAATTAAATGGCGAAAACAAAAAAGGTTTCATTTAAATTACCTCCATAACATTCGGCACGACATTCACCGTTGTATGCATCGCCAAAGTAATTCTGAAATGATACGATTTTATTCACAGTCAATTTTTAACGTAATTGAGATAAAACTCTTACCTTTGGACATTCACAAATGGCTCGATGGTTTGCAACTCTGACACATTGGGCTCCAATACCACATTCTGAGCATGCTTGTTGACATTTGAAATCTTTGCAGAACTCTTGTCCACCGCATTCATAATCTGATTCGCATCTGTACAAAAATGATTTATTTTAAATTTCATTCATACGTCATACCAGAATATATTATTGAGTTCCCAATTTGGAAGGATGCATGAGAAACTTACTCATGACGACATCCACTCAACGGTTGGCCAACATAGCCGCGCAAACAACTGCAGGTAGGTACACCGTTGATGACTTCACATTTTGTATTTTCACCTGATTGAATTAATGAATAAAAAGGTTAAGTTTTCAATTGAATAAAACAAATTCTATTTCGTTCTCACCGCATGGTCCCCACCGTCCTCCGGTATGGCATGATTCCTCTATATAATAATTGCGAAAAATAAATGTCTTTTATTGAAATCATAGCAAAGTAATAGCAGTGTCTATTATAGCCAAAATCAATTAAAACATATTGTTTTATCTGGTTTGAGCTAATGAAAATATAGAAATGATGTAGGCAATAAATTTGAATTTATGAAACTGGTATCAATGTCAATCGGAATTTGCGTATTTGATATAATATTCATATTCATCAAATTTAGATCATTTGTATTCCATTTATGGAACGTTTGCTTAATTGTCGATCAAGCTCAAGATGTTCTATCATTTTCATTATACAGAATTTGAATTAATTTGTTTTATAATTGTATTCAAATTGAACTAAAAACGCCTACAACACAATTCGAAAATGTTGAAATTCATTTCAGCATTGTTCGATTTGTTTGGTGTCTGTTTATATTCTTTGTGTTTCGTTAAAATTCCCACAATAAACCTGTAGCATAAGCAGACAAAAGACGATATTTTAAGTGGTTAATAAAAAAAGCATTTAAATTGCTGTAGCAATTAATCATGTGAGGCTGAGAATATTACGCGAGAGCCAGCCAAAAGAAATTTCAATAACATTTTCAAGGTAAAATTGTGGGTTTTTTCAAGTTTATGTACACATGTCTAAAACACATAAGCACACACACACACATACAAGTAAAATACACAACTTTTTTTGTTTTTGTACTCGACAGTTGATTTCATTCATTGATTTCCGTCGGTTGCTATTTTGAAGTTTTTTTTTATTGTTGTTGTTATTTCATACTAACCAGGATCCTGAAACTAACCTGGATCCGCACGGGTACAATATGTGAAAGGATCGCCTCGGTATTTATTTGGGCAGCTGCAAACAGGAACATGATTGCGCACACTACATTCAGCATTTACGCCACAAGTGCCAGAGCATGGATCAATACAATTTCCATTTCTGCACGACTGATGGCCAGGGCATTCGGTATGATCTAGACATTCAGATCTTCTACATGAAACCAATGGATTTCCGCTGTAGCCAATTGGACAACTGCAGACAGGTCGGCCTAATGCCTCGTGACAGTTTGCATTTATTCCGCAGGGATTGTTAAAACACCCTTGTCTTTGATAGCCTTTACACATTCAATATGATTTATAAATTTCAAGTGTATTTGGTAAAAAAATAGCGATTTTAGTTTACAATCGATTTGGCCATGCTGTGATAAACGCTTCCACATACATTTAATTTGAAGCGTAAATTGTGCACACGAACATTATTTCACTTCATGATTTTTACGAAGCGTAAGATTAGGCAGTAATTTATTGTATTTTTATTGCGCTTGGTGCAACGAGTGGTCTATGCTGCAAGCTTCATCATTTTGGTGCCTGTTATTGAAGTGATTATGCTGTAGTTTAAATGAGTAATGTTGTGCATTTTTTAGATTTTATGTGTGTGGTTTAACTTGGATTTTTGTGTATTTTATTTGTTTGTTTGTTTTTTACTTTTGTGTATTTGTGCTTATGATAAGTGTATATGTGTGTTGTGTGTTTTGTGTACAATAATATCGTATTGTTATATCACAGCTGAAGGTGATCACAGACAGTCTCTAATATCTAATACCCCTGTTATTAAATTTGTATGACCTTTGTAGGAATCTCGAGTGGGTGCCAAAATGATCTGGATGAAAACAAATAATAACTTACTACCGTTTTAATATTCAGATTTTTTGAGCTGATTAGTCAATATTATCATTATTATATGTTTCATTGTGTTGTTCCATTAATTTATTTGTCTGTTTTTGTGGTTATGTGGTGTCTCAAATAAAAGTGTTAAAGTTATATATACTACTAGTTGTACTAGTGTTATCAGAAAAAAAAATGAAAATAAATTACGATTTGAATAGGAGTCGGCTCTATTAACTACATATGAGTTTGAGCTTGATGGTCGTGAAATGATTCGTTCGTCAGTCCGATAAACCACTCGTTGATTGCCTGTAGAATAAACCTGATTGCCTGTAGCATAAGGACTGCCTACCACTCGTTTTCCAACCTCATCTTGAGTGTATGTTTCTTTGTATGGTACTACTTGTTCTTCATTGCACAAATGACAGACTTGGCCATCACGATTATAGTGCGTTCCCATACCTAATGCTGAATAGACTGATGCGAACAAACATACTGCTACCAACAACACCGACGTTGCTTGCTGAAAATAAGGAATTAAAAAAAAAAATATATTTTAATTCACATTTTCGGAATCGTTAAATGCCTAGAATTGATAGTTTTATTGGCTTTAAGAAGACTCATTTTTAAGCTGCTATGCTGGTTTATTATCATTTTTTTTTACACAACAATCGCTTAAATTTTATTCGAGCATCTTCATTGTGAGTCATTTGAATGCGAAACGACGAACCCGCGATTACAACACTTTTTTTTCATTGGAAATTTTGCACGCAAAAAAAACATCCAAATAACTTTGGTGGCACGCAAAACTTGTTATTTTATTGATCCGTTGTCATTTAATCCGTAGATAATTTTCAACAAGAGTCCATGTAGTTGTTTGGAATCCACTTAATCTTCATAACTAGAAATGACTGATTTAATTTTATTTCTTAGCTATATCGATTTTATTTTGTATCTCAAAAAACATTATCAAACGATTTTTACGACTTTTTTTTCTTTTTACCAAATCTTGGCTTATTCAAACCAACCGGTTTTGTTTGTTTTCTAGTTAATTACTCTTCACTCGGTTGTTTTTATTTCGGCGATTAGGCAGAAGATGAAAAATAAATTCATTGATTTGAGCCTAGGATCATTAATTGGAATTTGGCCAATGAAAAATGAACAAAATATCACCTTGAATCTTGCACTTCAAATTTACGCATTTATATTCGTTTTTCTAAATCAGTAAACAGTTCGAAATTTAATTATTTATGTCCCATTAGTTGTTATGTAAACATTTTTTTATCCATCCAGAATCAACAATGACAACACTGTTTATTTTTATAAAAATTCAGCAAATGGTTTGTTTGAATGTTGTCGATCGTATTTGATAGTAATGAAACTTCAATGATATACGATGCTGTTATACAATCTTAGTTGAAAGATGATAAAATTGATCACCAATTATTATTATTGTTGTTTTTATCCATGTATTTTTGATTGTTATTTTCATGATCATCTGAAAATAATAGTGAAACACTCACCATTTTGAAAATATTTATAATTAGAACTAGAGAAAAAGGTGTTAAAAAGGCGTTCCTAGAATTAAAAACGCACACTTTCGATAAAATTCAACACGATCCGCACGGCAAGCACTCAATACGAAAACTAATCAAAAGTCTTGCGCTTTAACGGTCTTTTATAGAAAATCTGTGATTTTTCGCCTTTCGCATCGTTCGTCTCACAATTTATTCGACAATATTGGGTTGTGCTGCTGTTGTTTATGTATTTTGCGATGTTGAATTAATTGGCTATTGGTGTTGAGTGGCCGCACGTGTGTTACTGATTTGCTATATTGGTGGTATGATTCTATTGTTTGTTGTTCTTTTCAAAATAGAGTATAGTTAATGTTTCCGGCGGTGGATGGCAGACAGCGCATTCTTAGAACATGAAAAAAAAAACACAAGGCACACACCTTTATAAATCTAGACCTGAATCGATTTTAATATTTTATATGCAAAAGATCATTTTTTTATTCAATCTACCTCAATTATATCGTAGAAAACAGTGTCGTAGTCGTAAGATCAAGGTAAGCATTTACATTGTTATTGGATTAGCTTGCATTCTTCCATATATATATGATTTCTGCTCCTTAAATGAATCGATTATGAAACCAATTGCAATGGTTTTCATGGAATAGAAAGTTAATAACTAATCATTACCAGCTAATCAAATAAAAATTATTCCAAATGCGTTGAATATCCGCGTGGTAAAATAAGCTCGATGACAACGTCACCTTTACAAAAATTTAACAACGATGGAAAAGTGTTACTCCAAAAATGGTTGAATTGATGTTCAATTATTTTACAATTTGTGACACAAAGACGTCATCACTTCTTTTTTTTTTTTTTGAAGTAGCTAATGTAAATGTAATCGATTCAATTTCATCAAAGTTAAAGCTTTTGAATAATGACAGTGTGTGGGAGTGTTATTTGCATTCGTTTCACTTTGGATCGTTTTTTATGTTTCAATTTTTATCTAATTTTATTATTTTACGATCGATTCGTGGAAACTAATATCATAACATTCGTTATATTTTTCATAACATATTAATATTTGTTTTTACCATTGGATTTGCGTTGATACAGAGTGTGTGAGTCACTTTTATCGATTTTGATGATAAACATAAATAAGTTGATAAAAAATTCAAATGTGTCTAATAAAAAACAGGGTTCGATTTTTTGTTTCTCATTTGTATTCATTCAGTAATATAGTGTTCATAATTGGCAAAAGACGTTCGTGCATTGACCTTTGGTAACTAGTAGATAAACATCTCATATAAAGAGATATTATCAAAGAGGCTTGATGCTTGCTATTTCGGTTGACAACATAGAATTTCTTTTCGCACATAAAATCAAATTCTGAATTTTTCGAACGGAAGAATTCTGTAATCGCACATCGTTTTGCACAGCCTTTACCTTCATCGAAACAGGTTATTTATCTCAAAAATTTTTATTCGAATGTCTGTAGCCGTCTGCAAGTATATATTTTATTATTTTTAATGTAATTCCGTCTGCAATGACCACATTGACCATAAATGGTGCATCATTTTGTTTTCAATTGACCTTGAACCACATCTACACACCAACCATCCGAATTAAGCAATCGAAAATGTTCATTACCAACGACGTCATTTTTTATCATTCTTCATTGAAACAGTCGATGTCAATAATCGTTGTACAAACATTTGCTTTTAGATTTTCCAATCATTCCGTTCATTTGTTGAAACAAATATACAAAAGCGAAACAGAATATTTATGATGGGCGAGTAAATTTGCATTTAAATGAATATTTGTTCAACTTACAATTGAATGTCAAAGATTCAAAATTATTTTCTGGAAATGTGATATCACATCGATAATAAGCATCTTTAGGAATACATTTTTTATATTGATATATGAACCGGTACTATATTGTATGTGATTAATAGGTGATTCAGATAACAGCATTGTTGATTCAAATTAAAACTTTGTTTTTGGATGAAGATGTCATTGATTCCCAATAGCGCGACCAATTCGATGGAACTTCGTAATAAAAAGAATATCGATTTTAATTTGTTTAGGTTTCGTTTCATAGAATTTTTCTTGACGCAATAAATTCTTTTAAATGTTGTTAAAGATCATCTTAAAATTCATTTTGACAGAAAGCATTTTGCTACTTTTAATTATATAATTGAGGAAAAATTTCGTTTTGATTTTAATCTTGAAAATGTTTTTATATTTCGAGAACGAATGAAATCGTCGGAAAGAATTTATCTGTTTCGTTTCAAAGTGCATTTAAAATGCGATTACTTCAAGATCAATTATAACAATGCGACTCAAATTCATAATTCATTCTTCGATTTTATCTGATGGTTACATGCTACACATAGTGTATTGTTTTGGTGAGAAAAATAGAAACTTGATAAGTTGACTGTGCAGTAACGCAAAAGTAACCACCCAATTTTTTGAATCGAAAATAGTATATTTGCTATGTCATACATAACACGCAACGCGTACTATTTTCTCATAAATGTAAATTGTGTTTTGGTTTGATTTTATTCATTCATAAGAACACTTTACTCGACTCATCCGCTTGATAGTTAGTCTAAAGTATCAGCATGTATAATTTCGGCGAATACAATCAGTAGATTTTATGATAAAACAGTCTGCAAGAAAATCAATTGAATGGTTTCGCTCTTTAGCAGTTAATTTTTATCCGTTTTTTAAAACGTATGCAAGACATCACAACGATACGGTCTGCAGGTCCTAGTGGGAATCCGATTGATAATTACAAACCACGCAAAAATAGATAGTTTTTCTCGTTCAATAAAAGAAATATTTTTTTGTCAAATTACGACATTTATTAAAAAATATCACTTGGATTTAGCAAACATAAATACCAATATTGTGTTATTCACACGAATAAAAAAGTGTTCCTGTGTTTTTGTTTTCGTTTTTGTTTCGCTTTGGATCTAAATGTAAAAACATTTCCAAAAAAATGATGGGATTGAATGTGATGATCGATATATAAATGTGCGTACAGCAAAAACAAAATTGTGCAAAGAAAAAAATGACGCCTTTGAATATATAATAATTAGGCCTATCATTAATGATTATACACTTAATTAAATACATTAAAACATTGCAATTAGACTAATTTCAATTTTCAATATAAAATTCATGCTAAATTTGCAATAAAATATTGGAAATTCGATTGAGTATATGTATGTATGGAAAATGGGATTTAATTCATGAAAACCGCATGGCAATGGGTGATCAATGAAGTCAGTGCAAATATTTCTTGCGATAAATCAGTTAAATGTGGCGGTGTTGCGATTAATGTTGGGGCAAAGACGGTGGCGATATTGTGTTCGGTCATCTTGTTCACAGCGTGATGAGAAGAAACTCTGAAATTGTTTCGAATTGTGGGTGGAAATGATGTTAATTTTGGAATTTTATAATGCAACTCGATATGAGTCATATCAAAATGACATTACCTATTAAGGTGTTCGATAACAAATTTCAAGCAGTTAAAATGAGCTGGCGGCAACTGTTTGACAGCCTCACGCATTTTTAGTACTTGCTCTCCAATTGATGTGCAACCTGATTTGGGAGGGGAAAAACAGAATAAATTAAATGATTCAAAAACAAATCTGAAAATACATGTCGATGAACTTACTCGTTGATTGAATAAACGTTGGGTATGCATGATATGTAACGAGAGGAACAGGTAAAAGTCTTAAATACAATTTCAAAGTTCCAGCGATGACATTGATATTGCTATAAGCTGATTCAGACATATCCGTTTTCTCACCATGCCGATCTAGTGCCATTTTCAAAGCATCAATTTCATCAGCAAAACCAGATACTCTATAGATGCCCTCTTGTAACATTCCACGTGCTTCAACTTCTTCCACACAACGTCGCACAACAAATGGAATCGTACATTTGTGTGCTGTAACCACAGTTGTTAAATCCGAGCCAAAAACGCCGCGGATCTTCTTCATGTCGGGTAGACACTTGGCAGGAACTAATTCGGAACATTTATTGTGGGCAATAAAGCCACAATCTTCGCATTTGACACCTTGAGCAGTGAAACCCCATAGGAAATTAGCACAAAATTCACACCAATTTAAACCTTTGAATGTATGAATTTTGAATTTATGTGATTTCTGATAAACCACTGGAAGAACATCGCTATCGTCGACGGTCGATGCCTGATTTTTTTCATTTAAATTCAAGTGATTCATATTTTCCTCGTTTTGTTTTTGTGTATTTTCGGTGGTTTTTGTCTCACTTGAATTCGTAATTGATGCTGCGGTCAATGATGTTGTAATCGATGTGGCATTGTCATTCGGCGGTTGATTATCATATTTTAAACTCTTACGCAAATCATTCGAAAGGGCACGTAATTTTCGTCGGTTGAGTGTCATGTATGGACTTTGTTGATAGCTATTTTTTGTTTGTGTCATCATCGATTTTATGATTGGAGCCGCATGCATTTGCATATAAAAGTTCACCAATCCATCGGCCACTAAATCATGAATAGTCTCGAATCTCTTGAAATCTTCTTTAAGAAAATGTCCACAATTCGGCTTATAATAAATTTTATAGTGTTTGGTGCGGCTGTTAAATCGAAGTGACAATGTATAAAAATCGGTCGCACCAGGGCTTTGTCGCACCAAATACGATCCATCACATTTCTCATTGAGTAATGTTTCGGATTCTTTATGATCCATTACACCATGATACTCGTATCCATAACAATCCGGCAACAAATCATCTTTAATATCATCACTTCGCAATAATGCCTTTGGCGTTGGAGCTTCCAATTGAATTTTGTACACTAAACCATACATATACACACAAATATAGAAAAAAATCAAACAAGCGGAAATAATTAATTTAAATTCCAATGAATAATTTGGAAAATTTGTTCGAAACACTTACATTCGGGTTTCCAAACTTTGTGGATGGGTGAATTTTGCTCAGTTCCATTCGACATTTTAAGTGCCGATGTTTGTTTAATCATTTAGAAAAAACATTCAAACAAATTCACTTTTGATTTCACATTGGCACATAAAAAACATGAAATCTGTGCACGAAAACGACAATGCACTAGAACTTTGCAAAACACTGTAAACAACTCATGCGAATACGTTTGTACAAAAGAGAAAAATCTATGAATAGAGTAAAAGAGATGACATGCGTTAAATGTGAATAGAGACAAATAGTGTATAAAATACTGGCAGTTTGAATGGTATTAATTTTCAAATTGTTGAATGAATTTTGAATGACGCAACGATTAAAATTCAAGAATTAGCAACATTTTGAAAAAACTACACGAATAACATTTTTAATCAATTGAAAAATGTATTATTTTTATATCTGCATGCGTAATGTGAACGCACCACGATGCGCTTTCGAGGAAAGTGACAGTTGACATCTGTTAACACTACATAAAGGCGATTCATATTAAATTGAAGCTTACCGTATGTCAACGGTTCAACCATTCGTTCTTTTCTTTGACGTTCTCGAAGAAGTAAAGTTGTGTCTCATTTTGCATTACACGTTTCGTGTCACAAAAATACAGACTTAAAGTAAGTTTTTCGTGTAAATTTTTACTTAAAATAAATCTAAATTAAATGTTACTATCGAATTTCATAAAAAATCGATTAAATTCATTCGGATGATTTGGATTTAATTCGATTTTTTGCGTTGAAAAATTTGTGTGTGCGATACGCACTCGGTGTTCATTGATAAACACACATTGCCTGTGTTGAAGTGATAGACAATTTGATTTAATAAATTCATATGATGATAATTACCTACATTATCTGAAGGACTCCATAGCGATGTTCCGTCACATTTAAAAGAAGTGTGTGAAAAAAGTAAATCTGAGAATTTACCCGTCGAATTGTCTATGAACGAGAGTGTAATATTAAAATATATTGAGGTTATGTTTCTACACGTTTGTTAACTAAACATTTTCTTTTTTTTCTGTTTCTTCAAATAGAATGCGTTACGTGGCTGCATACTTATTGGCTGTCCTTGGTGGCAAAGAATCACCAGCAACCGCAGATATTGAAAAAATCCTCAGCTCAGTTGGTATTGAAGCTGATGCTACCCGTTTGGGCAAAGTCGTTGCTGACCTCAAAGGCAAAAGCATCGAAGAATTGATCAAAGAAGGACGTGAAAAATTGTCTTCAATGCCAGTTGGTGGTGGTGCTGCTGCCCCAGCCGCTGCCGGAGTTGCTGCTCCAGCTGCTGAAGCCAAGGCTGAAAAGAAAGGTACGTTTCACATCCACAGTGTGACATCCAATTCAAATTTGAATGATGCTTTGCACATTCTTCTTTAATGATGAACACAATTTAACCATCTTTCGCATGAATTTACATTGATTCGACATCTATTAATCTGATTAATAATTCATTTTCAATGAATTTAAATGTGATTCCATAATTCAAAATTGTGCTAATAATATCGATTTCTGTTTGTCTATTTACAGAGGAGAAGAAAGAAGAATCAGAAGAAGAGGATGACGACATGGGCTTCGGTCTTTTCGAATAGATCCATTCAAATTCGTTTTTTCGCATCGTTTGCGGTTAATTTTTACACGATAAACCATCAAGTGTGTAAAATGCTATAAGTATGTTGTATAAATTACCATCTGCAACAATAATGTGGATCCGAAACAACGGATTATTTCTATGAAATAATTTTCATGAAAATAAAATTATCCAAAAAAAAAAAAAACACAAAAACAATCGTATTTTTTATTTAAATCATTCTATATTTTTTTAGCCAATATAAATAACAATTGTAAAGGTAACTTTTATCTCTCATGAGAGTTATGTTCATCATAAGATGTATGATATTCGACCTCAAAATCGTCATCTACATCGTAGTCAACGTATTCATCTTCATAGTCTTCCTCTTGTTGATCTTCTCCCATTAAATTTGATTCAGCTTCTTCCATTCGCTTTTGTTTACGCAATAGTTTGCGTTTTAGTAAAAATTCTTTCAACACATCTTGAGTTTGTTTTTCATTGGCTTGCTCTTGTCGAATACTTTCAAACGAAGTATTAAATGTAAATGGTTTTGCAGTGGTTGGGTTTAATTGTGTTTCTTCGTATCTTTTCCATGCTTGTTTTGATTGGGCCATGTGTTGTTTTACTCGACCCATAAACAAAGCATGATCAATTCCAAATACATCGTTTCTCATCGATGGTAACGACGATTCATTCAGTTCCTTGTTCGCCTCTGTTTGATTCTCAAAATCTTGTTCTTGTATTCTGGTGAGTGTTGGTTTAAAATCATCACCGTAATCAGCATTTTCGATCACATTGTTCAACGTGTCTAAAAAGAACAAACTATTATCTCGCACAAATGTTAAATGTGGCATTTTGCCCATTAGTTGCATTTGATGTAGTTCATGCCGCACACGTTTCTTGATCGATTCCAACTTTTGTTCCACTCTATCCAAATCATTGGTTTCCGATGCCGTCCAATGTATATTCAATCCTTGATAATTTAGACACACTTCAACCCGCGTAATTTGCAATCCAAGACCGCATAATTCCTCTCCAATTTCACCACTTGCAATTATATCTGTTATATGACGCATAAACATTTTGTTTAACATGGAAGTTCTTCTGATAGACATTTTTGATGTTTTTTTCTGCATTGTATTAATGGATTCAAATTTTGGAGTCGTTGATGATTCGACCCATTTGAAATTGTTGGAAAAAGGCTTTCTTTTGCCCGTTAACAATTTCTGCAACATTCTCGATTGGCGGCTATCGTTTGATGCCAATCGCAATTGCAACTTATGCGCGCACACATTTGGTAACAACGCAAACACCGATCTATTTACTTTAAACATTTTTTTTTAAATTTAAGTCGAAATCACTTTATATTATTTAAGCAAGCTGAATCTCGCATGATGAATAGAGGTTAACATATTTGTTTTGCTGTGAAATGACAGCTTTCTGTCATTCGGGCGATATACATTGTTGAACCCTGCTCAAATTTAAATCAATGCAAGTTATTTCTAACACGCATACCAACAAAACCTTTGGTTGACTAGTGAAAGTTATTAATTTTGCTGGTTTTTAACGATTTTTGAAGATTAGTAAATCTGTATAATTTGGCCATTTGAAGTTTATAAAGATTAAAATGGTCTTAATTGATGAAATAAGATCCATTTGAGCGTAGAAATATAAAAAATAAACCAAAACTGTTATTACTAAAAATCACATTTTTTTCGATTTTTTTGAAGAAGTTTCTCTTCACTCTCGTTCAAGTCGCCACCCTATATGACATATGAACCCATAAAAAAATGGCTGTTTTGGAATAAGCTCATGCTTATACAACTACTCTAGGCTGTAGGCTTTGATATTTAAATTTTTTCGAAAAAGTCATCCACTCTATTGTGTGTGTTATGTGTCTTTCCCTTTTCTGCCTCCACTTTTATATACCGTTCTCTGTGTTCGTCCCCATTTTATCGCTCGTTTGTTAAATGCCCTTTTCAAAAAATAAATAAATCTAAATTGCATACCGAACAACCAACTGTACGCAACAGTTAGAAAGAGATTGGTTGAAACAACACCGAAAAAGAGATGGAAAAGGCAAGACCTTCAACAACATTTTGGCATATGTGTATTGAAAGTGTTTGTGTCAATGCTGCTGTTTCCGTTGTTTGCAATTTTGCTCTCTGCTGTTTTTGCTGCTGTTACCTTTGCTTTTATTACGGCCAATGAAATCTGTTCTGTGGTCAGTTGATTGAGATTCGTTGAACGATTTAGTTGATGGTTTGATAGAAATAGCCGTACGACGTGCATGTGTTCAAATATATACTCTACATTTACCATAACTTAACCATCCAGTTTTTTCCATCTAATTTCGCTTTTTTATTTTATTTATTTCGTGTTTTGTGTGAAAAGAAACGGAAATCGGGACGAAAATTCCGAATATAAGTGCAAAGACAGTTTCTGATTTTTGTGTGTGTGTTTTTTTTTGTTTGTATAAAACGTTCTGCCACGAAACATTTTACTTCCGATTATTTGAACAACGTTTTTGAAAAGAAGTTTTTGTGAAAATCCAAAAAGAAGAGAACATTTTCATCATGAATCGCTCGTTGGATGAAAGAAGTGAATTGAACAATACCATTGACGATACAAATTCATCAAAAGCTCGAAGCAGACCATGCTTATCGCATGGAAATGGTGATGAATCAAATGCTAATCAAAATGGAAAAACCAACCACGCAACAAGTTCACTTAACGGAAATGATGACAATAACGATAATGCCCAAAAACACTCAACCACTGAATCAGCGACCACCAATGGCAAGGGATTTATAAAACGAGCTCATCCAGCACCATTGAAAATTGTCGCATTCAAAGGCGATTCAAACGACGTGCCAGGAACACCACGAACACCAAGGACATCAACCACACCAGGTAATTAAATTGATACATTCATTTCAAATAACCAGCAGAGATGAGACGAAAAATAAAAGAATTTAGATTATTTGAAATGAATGTATCAATTTAATTACCTGGTGTGGTAAAACGAAACAATGCTTCTACTTGTTGCTTCACATAAGATTTATGTATTTTGGATAGAATCATACAGTTTGATTACAGCACCTATGAATAGGAACTGTGAAAATAGCACTGCTATAGCTGTAGCCCAATCTATTCACTGCTATATCTTGAATTAAAATATACATTGAATTCACCACAAATGACAAAGCATTAAATAATCATTACTATACAGAGAAAAATGTGCGCTTAAAATAAGTAAAGAAAAACCTTAAATACACACAGAAAATAAGAAATTTAAGAAATCTAAACAGCACGTTAATTACAAAAAGGTTTGCCACGTAGCAGCAGAAAGACAGTCAAAAACCCGAAAAAAATTCTTCATTTTTTCTATTCATTATAGCGAGGCAATGTTCGATACTTGATTAAATTGATTTTGCCATTTAAAAAAAAAATTATTAAAATTTTTATATAAGTCATGTAACCGCTATAAAACGGTTGAAAGCAGTTCTCGGAATTCTGTTTTTTCTAGAAATAAGACAGTGTGTCAATATTTTTTTCTCAACAATTTGAAAAGGAAGTATGTTCTGATTAAAGAATCAATTACCCGAATTCGTTTGATAAAAATAATTTTAATTTGAACAATCGGCAACTGTTTCCATCTATTGTTGATAAATATATTGGTCTTGCTATGTAATTAGCTTAATTTCAACCTCTTGCAAATCAGAAATATCATTTGAGATATCAATTGCAGTGATTGCTTTGGAAATCTGTCGTGTGTGCCATATTAAATGAAATCCATAACACACACACATAATATTTTTTCCATTCACTTGACTATTCGATTTTTGGATGTTGAGTTGCGCACAAATTATTCTTTTATGTGAATTCAAACTCGATTTCAAGGGGATGCAGATGGACAAGCATCCTGTTCGAAATGGAAAGAAAGCGATGCGGCTAGCTTAGAAAGAAAAAATAAAATGCTGGTGAAAGGCTGTGAAAGGAAACGACGTCGACTCAACGGCGTCAAATGATTGAATTAAATGTTTTTTTTTGCATAAAATTTATCAAATGTAACCTTTGATATGACGATCGATATTATCACTTGATTAATTGTTTTTTTTTTGTTCTCTCCCAACACAAAAGGGCACGAAAAGTGTACATTTCATCATGATTTGGAATTGGATCACAAACCACCGACGCGCGAAGCTCTGTTGCCAGACATGGCACAGTCGTATCGCTTGCTGTTAAGCAGTTTGGGTGAAGATCCATCACGTCAAGGGCTATTAAAAACACCGGAACGAGCTGCCAAGGCAATGCTTTTTTTTACCAAAGGCTACGACCAAAGCATCGAAGGTGAGACTACTTTTCGTTTTTTTTTTTATTATTTTAACCAGTGATTTGCTGGATGAATATCGCTGGATATTTTCAGACTCTGATTCTCAGCCGCTGCCAAAAGATAATGCAAAAATGAACCTTTGCACTGATGTTGTGTTGTATTTAACGCGCTGAGAATCAGCGTCTGAAAATATCAGCCGATATTCATCCAGCAAATATACTGCTCTGATCGTTATTTCCTCGAAAAATTGCAAAGATTTCTTCGAGTATTTCGAGAAAAAAAAATGAAGATCCGGAAAGAAACTTACTCATACGAAAGCTTAAGAGCTTTGCATTGGCACTTTTACATGCGTCGATTCTTTTCTACCCACTTGTAAAAAAAATGTTTTGTTCAAGTGTTTTATTCCATTTCCATCAATCAATTCACATATGAAAAGCACTTTACTTAGCTCTGCGTACATTGTGTGATAAATGATATTCAAGTGATGGAGAACTAATGGAAATTGTTTGTCATTGCCAAAACATTGATTGTTTAAGTCATTGGATTTTTTTCTTCTCCAACGATACTCATTTTACTACAAAATCCTTGACTCAATTTCAGGTAGCGGTTTTCGTGTCACAAATCTTGGTTAGATTTGTGGTTTTAATCAATTTACTACATACATATTCTGTATTCTTTGTATATGGTATTCACAAACATACTTCAAGACAAAAAACACACACACAACATCTCAATAGATGATTGTATTAAGTTTTTGCCTTCTTTAATGTTCACCATCAATATGTCAGCGTACGGTCATCTTTGATCAATGTTTTTGAAGTACGAATGCTTGAATTTGCATTTGGCTCCATATTTGCATTTTTTTTTCGATTGTTTTTCTTCTTCGTTGGTTTCACTTTAAAAATTCGTCTATGTGTGTTCACATATTGGAAATAAAATGACGGTGAATAACAATTCTTGATGTGATTGAGTGACGTATGTAAATTGGTTCAAGTGGAAGGTACACCATTTTTTTGTCAATGGAAATTTTTTTATTACCAACAACACGCACTTCTGTCCATTTGTTTAAGCGAAAGTTTGAGTGCATGATGTATTTATTTTTTTCCGGTGAACCATTAAAAAAAAACTATTTTAAGTAATACAAAGCAGGAAAAAACCGAGAATTATTTCAATCTGTCTAGGTTGACATTGAAAACTAACAGTTATTTATCGAGCACATATTTTGGTGTGGTTTTCTTAAATTTATAGAAGCATTGAATGGAGCCGTTTTTGATGAAGATTATGATGAAATGGTTGTGGTGAAAGATATTGAAATGTTTTCAATGTGCGAACATCATTTGGTACCATTTTATGGAAAAGTGTCAATTGGTTATTTGCCGAGCAAAAAAATTCTCGGCCTCAGCAAATTGGCGAGGTGAGTAAAAATGATTATTTTATTTTGCATTTTTTCCGTTTGGATCCGGTACTTATATCACTTCTTTGATTTTATCAAGCTAACATACCAAAAAGAAAATGAATCAAAATTGAAAAACTTGCAAACATACACGCACACGCAAAATTCGTCTCTTTTCTTAACGACAATAAGCTTTAAAAACACAACAGGTTTCTTTTTTGTACGAAAACTCACTTTAAATCTGGCAAAAAAAAAACATTCGACGCAGAATATTGTGATTTAAACTTATTTAGGGAATCATTCATAAAGTTTTTCCCCAAAGTTGGAATATTTTTAGTCAAATTATCCACACATACGCATACAACAAGTTAAAATGCATTTCATCGAAGCGTTCTTTATGAAATATAATTAAAAATAAACATGAAGCCAGAACTCAATTATAAAAATGTGACTGAAGATAGAAAAAACATACACAAAAACACACACACACACAACAAACAACAAATTCATTTATCAATTTTGATTTTATTCAATACTTAAGAGAGCAATCACTTAATGTTTAAAATCATAACTTTTATTTTCTCAAGCAATATTTGGCTTTAAATCAAAAGACCACGAATTTAACCAAATAACCAAAAATAAATGTTGTCACTAAATTGTCATTGTTATGCTGCAACAATGACTCTACATATTATTCGTTTCTCGTTATAATCAATACATTCATTTGGGTGTTTCATACAGCTTGTTCTTTCTCTGTAAATTACGCAATTTTTATGGCACGCATTTTCTTTTTTTTCTTCATCTTTTCACACACATGCACACAAACACACATACACACATCAATCCATTCTCAGAACAAATTTGCTTTTACATTGCCATTTTGGGTTGATTTGAAATTGAGAGGGGAAAAATACTGTTATGGCTAAAATCACGATAAAAAAGACTCAATTTACCAAATACATGTCTGACTATATCATTTCAGAATTGTGGAGATTTATTCACGACGACTGCAGGTTCAAGAGCGCCTCACTAAACAAATTGCGAACGCCGTAACTGAAGCCGTTCAACCAGCTGGCGTCGCTGTTGTCATTGAAGGAGTGTAAGTAGAACATGTCGAAGTAATTAAAACCAGTAATTACGGAAAAAACACACACACACATTCACCATTCAAAAATAAATTCTAAAAGAATAACCGCGGCTACCATAAATCGCAGCCTTCTTTCTTCTATTCGATTCGAATATTGAAATCCACATTTATGCAATTTGACAGATATTCTAATAAGTTTTTCTCTTTTTCAGGCACATGTGCATGGTAATGCGAGGTGTACAGAAGATTAACAGCAAAACAGTGACATCAACAATGTTGGGTGTATTTCGTGATGATCCGAAAACGCGCGAAGAGTTTCTCAATCTTGTTAACACCAAGTAAAAAGAAAAACAACAAAAAATGAACACTATTGATTTACTGTACATCTGACATCCATTAAAATGATAACAATTTAACAGAGATGAACAACATCGACATGCATTGCAACAGAAAAAAAAATTATCAATGAACACATTTCAATGAAGAAAAATATAAATAGCTAAAGAAGAGTATTTATTTATTTATTTGCTAAAGTTTTTCTGTGCACATTTTTTTACCACATTATTATAGTTTTTATATTTATATATATTTTGTTTTATACGTCATTCGTGTGATTGTACTTATTATTTTGTGTTTTATTTTTTCAAATTCCCTTTCACTTCAAGAACACATTAAATTATTGGTTTAAAAAAAAAGTACGGTTGTCTATTGTATAGAAATAAACGACCTTTTTTAATTAAAAAAACATCGCCATCCAATGCAATGGAAGTAGAACTTAAAGTATAATGATATGCATTTTTGGTCACCATGTTTTAAAATATCACATTTCAATCGCATCACAAAAGTACATATCTTCTATTTTTGAACTTTTGCCCAATTTTATTGACGCACTGCTATCGAAAAAGTTACATTCTTCATGATGGTTTTTGCCGTTCTATTTATTTGTATATTTGATTACCTGCCAGAGCTGGGCATTATGATCATATCTATCATATAAAGGGGTTTTTAAAATTTTGAAATGATATTTAGGCGTTCCAGGTTAGCTCTGAAATAAACATGTATGAAATTCTCCTTTTTTCCCTTTTACGCCACTTCACGGTTTCAAATCATACAAAAGTGCTAGAGGGTGCCATTTTACACGCGCACAATAAGGCTTTATGCTCCACAAGCTATGTGGTTTCATTAACTTATTGGCCGAATTTGTGGAAACAAACGTCAATGAACAACAGCAATGACATTTTGCAATTTGTATTTTCGCGTAATCAGCCGACAAACGATGATAATGATTCGACATGGCGTCTCGTTGAAGATGCCCGAACTGAAATTGGTGCTGAGAAATATGATGAAATTATACGCAACATGTTTATTGTTTACGCTGTTCGATAAAAATGTCAACTCACTTTTACAATTCAAAGACGTTAGCGATGTGTGGAGTCATTTTGAGGGTATATTCACTAAATTGCGTCCCATTCTTAGATATGCACCAGTTTTTAAGGCTTACTACAAGCATGCACTCACAGAAATTCAGGCGGATGGTGTTCCATATTTGGAATTCAGAGGTCGCGTGTCCAAGGTATTTTTGTGTCGAATATCTTGCTAATTAGATTTAATTCTTTGTTTTTCTAATTTTTCAATTTTTTCGTATGCAAAGCTCTACGATTTGGATGGTAATAAATACAATGAAGAGGATATAATGGAAATGTATGTTCAAGAATTGGATGAATTCAAGCGTGATAATCCATCGTTTATTGGCTCGAAATTCATATTTAAGAAAAAGTCTAATAAGACGATAGCAAAATCTTTTTCGTTCGTTGAATGCAGGCGAAATTTTCACAATTCTTGGCTGGTTTCGATTTGGTACAATAATTTATTTAAAAAATCTTCATCATTTTGTATGATTATTTAAATAAAAAAACGCAAAAACAGATTGGACAGGAAGACAAGGCACCTGGTTTAGTTTCGTTTGCCTGACGACATAGAAATCTTTTTACATGCCGACGAAACAGCGTGGTTTGGCAGTGTTGATGAAAATTTGGTAATTAATTGCAGTCAAATAACCTGCCATTCCAATTTTTTTTTGTTTATTTGTGTTCAATTTTGTTTATTTTTCTCTCAATTTTGCCACTGTAGATTGATGCAGTTTTGCTGGTAAGTCGTCGAATTGGTCATGGTTATGCATTAGCTAAACATCCGAAAATAACTGATCTTGTCAAGAGCAATGATATTGCGGTTGAGGTGAATCCAATCTCCAATCAAGTCCTCAAACTTGTTGACGATTTTCGTGCCCATTGTTATTTTATCGGATGATCCATCTTTTTGGGAGGTTTTACCGTTGTCGCACGACTTCTACATTGTATTTTTGGGAATTGCATCGCATCACAGTGACTTGCGAACTCTTAAGAAATTCGTAATCAATTCTATTCAGTACAGTTCACTAAATGATAGTGAAAAAACAGTGGCATTCTCCAAGTGGCAAGTCAAATGGGACTCAAAATGGGGTGCAAAATCAACAATAATTTAAATAAAAATAATAACCTTTGACATTAAACGCCCAGTCCGAATTTTTTCGTTCACAGCCTCACGATTGCCATCGATAATTTGTCGCTTAATAATTGCACGTTTTCTTCTCAAAACACGTCTGTTGACCGTTGACACAATGATATCTGGCAGTCCAGCGACTGAATCTGGCAGGCCATCAATCTTTTTCGCTCTAAAATCGTAGCACACTTTAAATCGATCATCTTTTGTGTGCCTTGGAAAACGTTCCTGACAATTCGCGCATGTTTGTGATGTTCCCCCATTCATCTTGCATTTCAACTTCTGAATGTCCAAGTTTCTTAATGCTCACACGAAACTTACGCGATCCCGGACATCTTTTACGCTTTTTTATTCCAAACGGTCGATCGGGTTTCATCGCCCAAGCACCAAATTGAACCAACGACGGTTTGTTGTTTGTCACACGCACGGCGATTTGATCATTTACTCTGGTCGAGCGAATGTGATGGTCTAAATCCAGTCGTGCATATTCACGCGTCGCATAAGCTGCCATTCCTTTTCGTAACATTTTAATGCGATATTCAATGTATGATTTCCATGTTGAATTACGTGGTGATGGTGGACGATATGGGTATGTTTTGAGATGTTCCTTCTCTTCGATATCAAACCATCCAGCCAACTTTTTCGCTTCTTTGTCTCGTTTTTTCTGCTGAGTTTCCCAATGAAAACGCTGGTTTGGTATTATAATGTTTTCCTTCAAAATGCAAAATGGTACAAAAAACTATGAGTTTCTATTCAAAACCATTTCAAATTACATTTCAAAATATGTTACCTCAACAGCCGGCTCATCAGGTGTTTTTTGAATGTTGCGACGCACTACAGTTAACCACGATTTTTCATTTGGATCGATTCCAATGATGTATTTCTTGCCAATGAGTTTTTCCGGCCCCCGATTCGCTTGGGTTGTTTGCTGTGGTCGTTGTTGTCGCTGTGGTTTCTTGTACATTATGGATATTGAAACACTATCGGTCAAAATCTGATGATGGAATGATTTCGATTTGCCCAATTTATTTATTTCACCGACATCGAACAACATATTCCATAGACCTGATCGATCAGTTTGGGTGTAGTACTTTAAATTTCTCTTATTCATCCGGTTGGTCCGCGTATTGAGAAAAGAAGGCACCAAATCAAGCTCGTTTACAATTTTATTATACAAGTCCTTAATGTCCAATCGCACGTTTTTCAAATGGTAGTCGCATAATGGTATAAGAGCAAAACTGCTTATTTTTGGTGGTCGATTGATTGTTGGCTCTTGAAAGTTCGGATTGTTGCGAAACATTTCATGAATGGTATACCATTGTTCGGCATGACTGTGATACACTTCTATTTGCCGTTGCATTTGACCGAACAACCACAGTGATTCAAACCAACGATATTTTGCGAAAAATTTCATACTCACTGTTCCCGACCATCCAATTTCAGTCAAATCTCTCATTAAAATATTGAATTTTTCAACGCGTTGTGGATCCACATTATTACCATTATTACCATTTGTTAAATTCTTAAATCGATATGAAAACTCTTTGGCATTTCTGATGTCGATGTTATCAAATCTTGAGCCATTGTGGAATCGATTGCGATACCAACAACGCATTCGAAAAAAATTCTCAAGTCGTTTTTCACACCATGTGTTGGTATTGGTTTGAATGTTTGTGATATATTGTTTATAAAAATATCTCAAACCATTTCCCAACTTTTCATCATCTGGCCATCGGAACTGTTCTTCACTGTTTCTTTCTACCATGAAACGAAACTCGGGCAATATCCGATATTGACTATTGATATTGTTAACGTGTTGGTTTAATACCGCTCTGAAACAATCGGCAATGAACAGACTTGGATGTGGTTTCAAAAAAAATGCACGATCGTCATTATCAAGTGCTTCATTCAAAATAAAAAGAATAGAAAGTGATGCCAATGCTGCCACTTCTGTCATTTGAACACTGCGCTCGAATAGCATTTTGGTCACAACTTCTCCAACTCTTTCAATCCGTTCATGTTGTTGTCGCAGGATTGTTTGAAGTCCACATTTTATTACAACGTATTTGCTTTCTTCTGGTTGATTATCATCGAGCTCGTCGTCATCCATGTCTTTTTCTGTTCATTCTCAACAGACATTAGGCTCGAGCTATGCATATAGCGGCTGCTATTTTATAGGTGCTATTCATAGGCGCTATTTAATTCGTGTGCTGTGTGTAACACCGAGTAGGAATATCATAGCCTACTATTCTTTTGTACATTTGAATGTGAGTACGAGAGAGATGTAGAAAATAACGCACAATATGCATAAATGCATTAAAACGAGATAAATAGCGCCTATGAATAGCGGCTATGAAATAGCAGCCGCTATATCCATAGCTCAAACCTAATGTCTGATTCTCAAAAAACTGATCAAATTATTCGAAAATAAAAAATAGACACAAATTTAGAAAAAAAATGCAACAAAAAAAGCATAGATTACGAATAAAATGAGATCACAATTTAAATGACAATCACTTATATCACAATTCAAATTAATCACTTCTTACCTCAACGATGTCACTCTGTATTCTGATTCAAATGATGAAATGTTTTCCAATATTCCGCAGATGAAAATTTTGTTGGGATATTCACCGTCAATTTTATGAATGCTTTCTTATTTTGAAATAACAACATAGACAATCTCAAAACCAACAGTGAATTTATCCGTTTAACATCGAACAAACAAAATCATTGGAACAAATGTTAGCCAAAAATGACGACAAACAAAATGTTTCATACTCTAATATAAACACTCACACATAATTCTCAAGAATTCCTTTTACAAGCAAAGCACAATTTGTTACAAACAAAAAATGAGAACACACTCATATCACAATTCAAATCAATAACTTCTTATACTATATAACGCTGTGTCCTGATTAAAACGATGAAAATGTTTTTTTTTATTTTGAAATGAAAACAAAGACTGTCACAAAACGGACTGTGAATCTTTCCATTTGACATCGAGTGACTTCTACAGTTACGTTCCAAACACACCAAACCGTTGCTAAAATGACGATAAACAAAAAATGAATCTCATGTACAAGAATTCCATTTATTAATCACTGAATTTTGTTTTTTTTTTTTTCAACACAATGGCAACTTAACCATAATTACTTACCTTATTCTTAACAATAACTTCAAAATATTTTGATGCGAAAAAATCCCTATTTAGTTCAAAGAAATTAATTGATACGATGCAATGTTTACGAAGCACATTTTGAATGTAATCAGAAAAATCGGCTTCGATATGATACACACCAATACACACAGCTACCAACTGTCAAATGTCGTACACATTCAAACATGTTTCGAATTCGAAATTCGAATTTGAATTATGAAATAAAAAAAATAAAAAAAATAAAAAAATGTTTCTGAAACTAAAATCAAATCAAACAAATCTAAAAAAAGGTACATTTATAAATGTATTTCACAGTCACTTGAAATTCCTACGCAATGTTTTTTTTATTCATGCACAATCGAAACACACACAGAGAGAAGAGAGTAAGATTTGTATTTTCATCCTCTTTTTTTTCCGGTTTGTTTTTCAAATTTTATTTGCTTAAAATCAATCGTATGAATACGATATTATGAACTCAACGAGTTTATGTTATTTACATTTGTTTACATTGTATTGCCGCTACAGTTTCTTAGAATATAATAACAAAAAGAGAAACAATCGAAACACACAGAAGATGTTGTTGTGTATCGCAACACGAAAAAGCTGAAAAAGTGGTTCACATTATGCCTATATTCTACCTTCCATTTGACACGAAAATTGCCACAAAAATGGGTTAAAGCGTTACATTTTTTAACGTTAAAATGTCCTAAAAACGTTACATATTTGTTCGTTGGGTAGTATGTAAAAAAAAACACACGAATGATGGAAAAAGTGATCGTAATTATATTAATCAGAAAAAGAAAAAAAAATATATAAGACTTTTTACGTGTGTTCGATAATAAAACATTTAATACCTTCCAGTTTGACGGATTTGGCAAAAAAGCTTATCATACGTTACTACATATGTTCAAAAATATTATTTAGAATCAGACATTATAATGAGATATTTTCAGCCAGATATCGTCAGTAGCTGAAATGGAATGAAAACAATAAAAGTGAATGTTATAGTGTCTGTTTAGAATACATAAAACGACCGCTGCCATTCACACAGAATCTCTAATGAATAAAATAACACAATATACAATCACTTTATATTATTTAAACAAGCTGAATCTCGCATGATGAATAGAGGTTAACATATTTGTTTTGCTGTGAAATGACAGCTTTCTGTCATTCGGGCGGTATACATTGTTGAACCCTGCTCAAATTTAAATCAATGCAAGTCATTTCTAACACGCATACCAACAAAACCTTTGCCGCTCCATCTTTATAGGTGACGATACATTTTTTTGTTCATGTGGCACTTGCACGACAAATTATCACGGTGTTGGTTATTCACTTGCTAAGCATACATTCGAAGTGGAATGCATTTTAACAAGATCATTTTCATGTCAACCAACCGAATTTGATAAATAAAAATGAAAAAATCATTTGCATTTTCAGCGAATTTCGTCATAATCGATTTATTGTCTGGATAAGTTGTAAAATCGTTTGCGTTGCATTTTCATCATCGGGCAATCCGCAGCAATTACACAGTGAATGTTTGTATATGTCTTCAAATGATTGTATGAAAAACACACACACTCACATACATACATAGATCCGTATACAAATAAGCAGCTTTTGTACAATAGGAGCACCATTAACAGCGTAGATAGAAAATTTGTAATGTGTCGCTGACATCCATGATGGGTGGTCACTACTGAGAGTCAAAAGAGTAAAATTCGTGCTAATAAAAAAATTCCCGTAAGAAAAAAAAAAAACAACAGCATTAAACTAGAACACACATTTCCAAATCAAATAATACAAAAAAATATTGGGAAGCAACTTGAAATTGTCCATTAAACGAAAGAAATAAACTTGCGACACCGAGAAACTGTAAATTGTGCATTTGTAGTGAATAATAGACGATAAGAAAGCGGTGAAAATAATAATTGGTAGTAGTGGAACTAGCGAAAAATATATAGAAAAAAACAGCAACATAAATCGTTAATTGGATAATACCACAATTCGACCGACAAGAAAATTTGGATTATATCTAGCAAAAAACAATCTGCCAAGAGAGATAAAATAGCTGATTACGTTTTCACGAGAAAAAAAACATTTGGAGAACAAAGTTTGATCAACCGAGGAATAAAAATGTCGCAACCATTGCCTATTCGTTTCCAAGAGCATTTACAGGTAAATTGAAAATGAACAAAAAAAGTGAATAATTCCGAATAATTAAAATGGTGCATCAATTTCACTAAGAAAAAAAATGCTTCGAATCGAGACCGCAGTTTAATGCTGCTTCTTCTTCTTATTATTATTTTTCTTTGGTTCCACCATCGTCGCACTCATCAATGACGACGACGGCGACAGAGACGGTGATTGATTATACAAGTTGTTGTCATTGTCTTTGTATTCGTCAATAAAATCATTCCGCTATCAAACTGCGAAGATTTTTTTTAATCAAAAATTATAAATATGTTTTCAACCATTATGAACATCCTGAGATTTGACAAAAATCGCAGTATACCATTGCCAAAAAAGCCCGTTTATAATAATACATGTCCGGAACTTGTAAGTGTGTGCGTGCGCAAGAGAATCCAATTGTGAACGTGTGAATACCAAATAATCGGCTCGAGATGTGCGAGTGTATGATTGTATGAGTGTATGAGTGTGAATGCTCAAAGAGTGCGTCAGTTTCGTTTTCATGTTACAAGTCTTTTTCTGTTGTTTCGATACGTGTTGTGTTTTATTATTTTTTCTTCTTTCGCTGTCCGCTTGTGTGACTATGAATTACAATAGGCTTCTTTGGTTCACTGACGCCCCTTTTCCAGTGTATAAAAAATCCGTCGGTATGAGATTCAATGTCTATTTTCACTATGAGATACATTGTTTCTTTTTTTTATCCTCTTCACACATTAAAAAAAAATGTATGCGATCGTGTTAAACCGATTGATTCGAATGACATGCACATTGTCTAAATGTATATTACAAGTGCATTTCTCATTTCGTGCGCTAAGCGGTGCCGTCTACTATGATTCAATGGCAATATATTTTGGATGGTTTCTTCGATTGTATTTTGTTCATTGTTTTTCTTCATCTTTTTTCTCTGTTTCGTTGTTCCGCCATGCATATTTATATATGCGTTGAAAAATTCTATTCGAAAACAAACGGATGAAAGAGTATAATGGTATTCGGGAAACACAATTGTGTTAACGACAGTGTGAGTCATTCAAATGATACAGAGAAAGTATATTCCACTAAAAACTGACTATACAAACGTACCAAAATACACACAAAGATAGAAACACATACACGATTTAAGACAGATAAGAGAAATTCATTACATATACCCACATCAAAATAGGCCCCAATATCATTGTGTACGTTAATTTTTCTTCTCGATAGCTGAGAATGGTCACTATTTTGTCATTTGAATTGCATACACTCATGCCGATGATCACGTAAAGTCCCAAAGCGCAAACAGCATAGCCGGTAATGGTTTATGTTTGGCATTTCCATGAATTCCATGTGACCGTGTGACGCAACTAGGTTTCTAGTTTAACTCGCAACATTTTTAATATCAATCGATGGTCAATCTAACCAATGCACGCGCGAACAAAATAAATTTGAATGGCATTGCGCGAGCAATTGTGCGCTCACCATGCTGATGTATAGTTCATGGTTTAATCGAATTGGTTGCATTCAATTTATTAAACATCAGCAAACTGCACAAAGCAGCAAAAGTGTATCTCATTTAGCACTTCTAACTCTGTATCTCTGTCGGTATCAGGGAGTAGTATTGATGCCAACGAATATACTCGCGAACAATAATACTTATTACATTGTCTGACTGATGCAACAACAAATCAACATATTAAACCGTTTACGTGTAACCGTGCTGTTTTCCAAGTGCGCAAAATCAAATTAAAATATAATATACATATTTTTTGTTGTTCGCTGCTTATATTCGTTTCACCGAATCAAACATACGGATCATTTTGGCCGATGATTTTATTGTCGAACTGTAAGCAATCACCAATTTAGCATTGCATCAATTTTATAGTCTATCGTAGATGGATACAGTTTGATGTCTGACTCTATTTTCGTTACGATTGCTTAAAATAAATAATGTCGACGGCTTTCATGAACTAAACGTGCTGTGCTATATGTTAAACAAAACTATCTCGTACTTCGGAACAATTGACACAACAGCGTTTCATTTGATAAGAATAAATATTTTTTGAAATGTGACAAATTGATTCTGCTACTGTGAAGTAACTTGGTTCATTTGGAATGGTTGTTTTGTTCGTCCATTGTGAGATTGGAAGTAAATTATGTCGATTCATATGTCCCCGAAATTGAATTTTATGATTAAGCATACTGTTCTGGAAATAAAATATGTTATAGATATTATGCTTTAAACCGCCCATATTGTCTTCCATTTAATTATGTTGTTGAGAGTACAAAAGCTATCGTCACAAAGTCGAAATCTTATCACACAGATTTTTTGCCGACGATATTTTCGTAGGCGGTTTGTACCATATGTAAACGTCGATTTCATGCCACATAGTGATTTCGTCTATACAACTCCATATTCAGATACTGGTCGGTGGTATCGATTTTTTCTTTGCTTATTTTCAGCTTACGTCTTTTCTGTTTTTTATTATAACTCACATTCTTTGGAATTTTCGGTAAAAAAAATGCGCATAAATGCACGAACCCGTATTCGCAAACGTTCTTTAACAGCGCTATAATAATAATTCAAAATTAAATCAAGTTAAAAAAAAGGGCGAACAAAAATAGCTTTGCATGGTCAAGATCAATAGCCGCTACGCGTCAATTGCAACATAAAATACTTGTCGTACACAAACGGTGATTTTTTTTTCTCTGCTTTAATACCAAGCCATTCGAAACGATTTTTAATTATTTGGTTTGTGTGGTGGTCGATTGAATCTCCAATCGTTTTAGTCGTTTTCTTGTGAACCGTTAATTGAATTATGAACCATAGTGTATAGTGTTGGCGAATGATGAATACATAAAAAAGAGACACACAAACTAGTCAAATACTTTATCATACTCTATTCACGCACACAGTGAAAGACTCAATATTCATTCCACAGAGTATGCGTATAGATTTAAAGTTCAGCATATGTCATAAGGACGATACATTTTAGCATTGTTTTTATCTTTTTGAGGATAATAAAGTGCGATTTGTTCATACAATTATTTTTAGTGAACTTCTTAAAATTGTTCTGGACATTTACCAATTTTTTACAATGTTATTTAAGTTTCGAATCACAACTGATAAGGCACATGGATGGTACTTCATATACTTACAATATGTACAAGAGCATTGACAAATGTATTGTCAGCTTACTAGGTCACGAGAGCTCTGGATATAAAATCAATAACACCACATTTCATATGAACACAAAATCAATGTAAAATGTTTGCTATTTATTAAAGACATCATACAAATCAAATGCGGAATGAACCTAATTATCGTACATATTTTCCAAGTTCACAATGCATCTGCTATGTACATAATTACAACAAAAAATTGACGTTTATAAAAATTGTATTTACAAACCTGTCGTGTTGAATGAAATTTTATGAATGGGTTTGGGTTATTGCGATTAGTCGCAAGACATTTACGTGAAATTGAAATTATCACATTGTGTAAATTGAGGTCAAATTTTAAGACATTCTTCAAATAACAGCAGAGAGTAATGGAATCTAGGTGTGCCCTGGAATGAAGATTTAAAAAATTGTTCAAGAAATGTGATTATCTTGATGATGCTTAAAATAGATTATATTCTTATATAAGTAAAAAATTAATTATGCGAAAAATAAATATAAATGAACGTAGTACGTTCTATATTCATTCCGAGCACGTTTCACACCTATCAAAGGTGCAACGATGCGCGATGCTTTTTCTTGCCTATTCTTTCGATATAATTAAGTGATTTTCTGTATATAACATTTTTTTTTTCGTTTTCTTTGCGGTTTACATTTACCATTCGTACTGCAATTTTCTTATCATTTTCAAAAGAAGGAAATAAGCCGGTTGACAGCGATTTCGATTGTGATTCTTTTACCGGTTGTTATAATGTTCATGCAATTTTTATGATCGATTTCTTTTTCGTTGTTGTTGTTTTAAACATTCAATAGCATAGGCCAGCGAGAATGTCAATAAATGCTATATGATTTAATGCATAGGAGAAAGAGAGAAAATCACAAACATCATCTATAACATCATATTTAACTAGATTGCTTACTTCCTTTTGTCGCCTCACCGCGCACAGATTGCGCTCGCGTACGCACATCTACTTGATACGGACTGGTACTTCAGTATGTTGTATAATTAATTCGAAATGGAAAGATAAACGCAATCGCTTGATACGAAAACAAACGGAGAATACGATTTGTTCGAGCGAGTAGCGCGGATGATGATGTTAGATTGCACATTTCTAATGTCAAACGACATAAACATTTTTTTTAAAGTGATAACCGTGTTTCGTTTATCGTCCAATCTCAATGTGCCTCTTCCACTATGTACAAATATCTAAATTAGATGAAATCACTTTTCCCAAAAAAAAGTGGCCAACTAAGAATTATGATACCTGAATTAAGTAAATTACATCACATATACAAAGGAACACATAAAGAATGGCGTAAAAAATATTGGTTGCAGTGTTCATAAGTTCCTTTATGATTTTACATGTCGCATCTTCCGTGCAGTATGTTTAAAATGTAGGAAAATAGTTCATTTTGGTTGAAAGTTTATGAAATATCGCAAGCACTCTCAAGAGAAAATCTACTTTTCTTTTACTGATGATACACTTCTCAATGCGGTTTCTTCTCACATTCAGACAACTTTTCTATTGATTTTTACCATCGTTACAAGCAACAGTTAACGCGCACACAGACATGCAAAATGGAACGTTTGTGTAAAAAAGACTTTTCCGCAACAACCAACGCGAATATAATGTAGATTTGCTAATGCGGCATTGGTAAAAATGCATTATTTGTGGGAGTTTTTCGAATGGGGTCAAATATCGATTTTCCATCGGCGCAAAGGTGTTTTTCCATATTATTCGTCTCGATGAAAATACCTTGTTTTCTTTAGTATTTTTCAACTACTTAAAGATCGTCATATTCGTTTTTCTAGAGAATATAAAAGCACAAAAAATGCAATTGATCAAATAAATGAGTTCATACATATACCGGGAAGGAGAAACTCCAAATATATTCAATTGTAAAATCGGTTCAAAACTATTTGAAATTGCCATATTTTTTTGAAAAATTGCATCATCCGTTTGATATCCGATGTATATTTCTTCAACTCAAAACTGTATTTCCGTTTTCTTTCTTTGTATTTTATAGCTCACAAATGCCGGCATTAATGCAAACGCCATCTCGTTCACGACGCTCACGATGGAGTCGGATAAATTTATTTGTGTGCGTGAAAAAGTCGGCGATGCAAACCAAGTTGTCATCATCGATATGAATGACACGAACAATCCGATTCGTAGACCGATTAGCGCCGATTCAGCAATTATGAATCCAGCGAGTAAAGTCATTGCCTTGAAAGGTATGTAATAATTTGCACACAAAACATAATTAAAATGCGAAGAAAAGCAAGTGTATGTATGACGTTAATGCATGTATTTTTTGATTATTATTTTTTTCATTAGCTCAAAAAACGGTACAAATTTTCAACATTGAAATGAAATCGAAAATGAAAGCGCATGCAATGACAGAAGAAGTGGTCTTCTGGAAATGGATTTCGTTGAATTCGTTAGCATTGGTAACGGAAACATCAGTCTACCATTGGTCAATGGAAGGTGATTCAACACCACAAAAGATGTTTGATCGTCATGCAACACTGAATGGTTGCCAAATCATCAACTACCGTACGGATCCAAAGCAACAATGGTTGCTTCTAGTTGGTATATCGGCGCTTCAACATCGCGTCGCTGGTAATATGCAATTGTATTCCGTAGAACGAAAAGTGTCACAAGCAATTGAAGGTCATGCAGCTGCATTCGCAACATTCAAACTGGAAGTGAATCCAGAACCATCGACACTGTTCTGTTTCGCCGTTCGATCAGCACAAGGTGGAAAATTGCATGTCATCGAAGTTGGAACACCAACAACTGGCAATCAACCATTTACAAAGAAAGCAGTCGATGTCTTCTTCCCACCAGAAGCTCAAACTGATTTTCCAGTTGCAATGCAAGTATCGGCCAAATACGATGTCATCTATTTGATCACAAAGTATGGATACATTCATATGTACGACATTGAATCAGGCACATGCATTTTCATGAATCGTATATCGGCCGATACTATTTTTGTGACGGCACAACACGAATCGAGTGGAGGTATTATTGGTGTCAATCGAAAGGGTCAAGTTTTGTCTGTGACCGTTGACGAAGAACAAATAATTCCATACATTACGAATGTACTACAAAATACCGATTTGGCCTTACGAATGGCTGTGCGTAATAATCTATCCGGTGCTGAAGATTTATTCGTCCAACGATTTAATGCACTTTTCCAAAATGCGCAATACGCTGAAGCGGCCAAAGTTGCTGCATTAGCACCGAAAGGCATCTTACGTACACCGCAAACGATTCAGAAATTCCAACAAGTTCAAACACCAGCCGGTGCCTCATCACCACCATTACTGCAATACTTTGGCATTTTACTCGACCAAGGTAAATTGAATAAGTATGAGTCGTTGGAATTATGCCGTCCGGTTCTATTGCAAGGACGCAAACAACTATGCGAGAAATGGCTTAAGGAGGAGAAACTTGAGTGCAGCGAAGAATTGGGCGATTTGGTGAAACCGACCGATTTAACATTGGCTCTATCAATTTATTTGCGTGCCAATGTACCGAACAAAGTGATTCAATGCTTTGCCGAAACTGGCCAATTCCAAAAGATTGTGCTGTACGCCAAGAAGGTCAACTACACGCCCGACTACGTCTATTTGTTGCGTTCAGTTATGCGTACCAATCCAGAACAAGGGGCAAGCTTTGCCGGTATGCTTGTTGCCGATGAAGAACCATTGGCTGACATCAATCAAATCGTCGATATTTTCATGGAACAAAACATGGTTCAACAGTGTACGGCCTTTTTATTGGATGCATTGAAACGAAATCTACCACAAGAAGGAGCTCTACAAACTCGTCTATTGGAAATGAATTTGTTATCAGCACCGCAAGTTGCCGACGCTATCCTAGGTAATTCAATGTTTACCCACTACGATCGCGCGCACATTGCCCAATTGTGCGAAAAAGCTGGATTGTTGCAGCGCGCACTTGAACACTACACCGATTTGTATGACATCAAACGTGCTGTCGTTCATACACATCTTTTGAACGCTGATTGGTTGGTCGGATTCTTTGGAACTCTATCCGTTGAAGATTCATTGGAATGCTTGAAAGCAATGCTGACCGCAAACATTCGTCAGAATTTACAAATTTGCGTACAAATCGCCACCAAATATCACGAACAATTAACAACAAAGGCATTGATCGATTTGTTTGAAAATTTCAAGAGCTACGAGGGCTTATTCTACTTTTTGGGTTCGATTGTTAACTTCAGCCAAGATTCAGAAGTTCATTTCAAGTACATTCAGGCCGCATGCAAAACCAATCAAATCAAAGAAGTCGAACGCATATGCCGTGAATCGAATTGCTACAATCCTGAACGTGTTAAAAACTTTTTGAAGGAAGCCAAACTCACCGATCAATTGCCATTGATCATTGTATGCGATCGCTTTGACTTTGTACATGATTTGGTATTGTATTTGTATCGTAACAACTTGCAAAAATACATTGAAATCTATGTGCAAAAAGTGAATCCATCACGTTTGCCAGTCGTTGTTGGTGGATTGCTTGATGTCGATTGCTCCGAAGATATCATCAAAAATTTGATTTTAGTGGTAAAGGGTCAATTCTCCACCGATGAATTGGTCGAAGAAGTTGAAAAACGTAATCGCTTGAAGCTACTTTTGCCATGGTTGGAATCACGTGTACATGAAGGATGCATTGAGCCGGCCACACATAATGCATTGGCCAAAATCTACATCGATTCAAACAACAATCCGGAACGTTTCCTAAAAGAGAATCAATACTACGACAGTCGCGTGGTTGGAAAATACTGCGAGAAACGTGATCCACATTTGGCATGCGTTGCATATGAACGTGGACAGTGTGATCGTGAATTGATTGCTGTATGCAATGAAAATTCATTGTTCAAATCGGAAGCACGGTATTTGGTGCGTCGTCGTGATACTGATTTGTGGGCCGAAGTTTTGGCCGAAAGTAATCCATATAAGCGACAATTGATCGATCAAGTTGTACAGACAGCATTGTCAGAAACTCAAGATCCCGATGACATTTCAGTCACCGTTAAGGCATTCATGTCGGCCGATTTACCAAATGAACTCATCGAATTGCTCGAGAAAATTGTATTGGATTCGTCAGCCTTTTCTGATCATCGTAATTTGCAAAATCTTTTGATTTTGACAGCTATCAAAGCCGATAACACTCGTGTCATGGACTACATCAACCGTTTGGATAACTACGATGCACCGGATATTGCCAACATTGCTATCGGAAATCAATTGTACGAAGAAGCCTTTGCAATTTTCAAGAAATTCGATGTTAACACCTCAGCCATTCAAGTATTGATTGAACATGTCAATAATTTGGAACGGGCCAACGAATTTGCTGAACGGTGCAATGAACCGGCTGTGTGGTCACAATTGGCAAAGGCACAATTACAACAAGGCTTGGTGAAGGAGGCCATCGATAGTTACATTAAATCGGACGACCCAAGCGCCTATATGGATGTCGTTGAAACCGCCAGCAAAGCTGGTTCATGGGATGATTTGGTGCGTTATTTGCAAATGGCACGCAAGAAGGCACGCGAAAGTTACATCGAAAGTGAATTGATTTATGCATACGCTCGAACTGGTCGTTTTGCTGATTTGGAAGAATTCATTTCGGGGCCAAATCATGCCGATATTCAGAAAATTGGTGATCGTTGCTTCAACGATGGAATGTACGATGCGGCCAAATTGCTCTATAACAATGTTAGCAACTTTGCACGTTTGGCCATCACACTGGTACACTTGAAGGAATTCCAAGGTGCTGTGGATAGTGCACGTAAAGCAAATTCGACACGTACATGGAAAGAAGTTTGTTTCGCCTGTGTTGATGCCCAAGAATTCCGTTTGGCACAAATGTGCGGTCTTCATATTGTCGTCCATGCTGATGAGCTCGAAGATTTAATTAACTACTACCAAGATCGTGGACATTTCGATGAATTGATTGCTCTATTGGAGGCTGCATTGGGCTTGGAACGTGCTCATATGGGCATGTTTACAGAATTGGCAATTCTCTACTCGAAATATAAACCATCAAAGATGCGCGAACATTTGGAATTGTTCTGGTCACGTGTAAACATTCCAAAAGTGTTACGTGCTGCCGAACAAGCACATTTGTGGTCAGAGTTGGTATTTTTGTACGATAAATATGAAGAATACGACAATGCTGTGCTCGCCATGATGGCTCATCCAACGGAAGCATGGAGAGAGGGTCATTTCAAAGATATTGTTACAAAAGTGGCCAACATTGAATTATATTACAAGGCCATTCAATTCTATTTGGACTATAAACCATTGCTATTGAATGACATGCTTTTGGTATTGGCACCACGCATGGATCACACTCGGGCTGTTAACTTTTTCACAAAAACCGGTCATTTGCAACTCGTCAAACCGTATTTGCGGTCGGTACAAACCCTCAACAACAAAGCAATCAACGAAGCTTTGAATGAATTGCTGATCGACGAAGAAGACTACCAAGGTCTGCGTACATCCATCGATGCATTCGATAATTTCGATAACATTGCATTGGCACAGCGATTAGAAAAACACGAACTTACTGAATTTAGACGCATTGCCGCATACTTGTACAAAGGTTTGTATCGATTCATTCTTCTTGGTTTTATGCTTGAACTGTTTTTTTTTCATACAATGATGGGCATTCTTTTTTTATTTTAAACAGGCAACAACCGCTGGAAACAAAGTGTTGAACTGTGCAAAAAAGATCGTTTATTCAAAGATGCAATGGAATATGCCGCCGAATCAGGAAAACAAGAAATTGCCGAAGAGCTACTGGGATGGTTCTTGGAACGCAAAGCATTTGACTGTTTCTCCGCCTGCCTTTATCAAGTATGATTCAAAGATTATTGACGATATTTCTTTGTGAAAATTTCTAAATTATATTTGTTCATTTTTAGTGCTATGATCTTTTGCGGCCTGATGTTATTATGGAGTTAGCATGGCGACACAAGATCATGGACTTTGCAATGCCCTACATGATCCAGGTAAAAAAATGACTGAAAAACATAAAATTTTCATAAAATTACCATTCTTTAATCGTCTCGCGTTGTTTTAAATTAAAGGTGATGCGTGATTTAACTACAAAAGTGGAAAAATTGGAAGCAAATGATGCACAACGACAAAAAGACGGCGAACAAACGGAAGAGAAAAGTATCATTTTGCCTGAGCCACAATTGATGATCACCGCGGGTCCAATGGGTATGTCACGCCAATCATTCATCTCTTTTCCATGATATGTTCATTATTTTCAATATTTTTTGTTATTCTCCTCTAGGTATGGTACCACAACAATATGGATACGGTAACGTTCCACCCGCTGCTTATCAACAACCACAACATCCATATCCCGGATATGGCATGTAAAATGTGAACTGAATCCATCGTGAAAAATAGCATCGTATGCAAAATTTAAATAACATCAACTCTGGTTTTAAATATAAACAATTGATCAGAATCAAATAAGAACATAGCAAGTTATAATTATGAGAAGTTTTCTTTTTGAGATATAAATAAATCAAATACAGTTTGGCGTAAACAAAAAAAAAAATTAAGCGAAAAATTTTAAAAAACATGAGCGAAATAATTTTATTTTTCTTCAAACATTTTGAAACCAGATTGATGGCCACTGTTTGTGACACCTGAGACAAAGTCTTGCTTGCACAGCATTTAGTTTCCATTAGCATATAAAGAAAAGTAAAGTGAACAAAACATCCAAATGGTAGCATCAATAACACCGATTTAGTTTTGTCTATTTAAATAAAAACCTTTGATTAACTATTATTTCAAAAGAAATACGTCGTCGTCAAAAATATGTCAAACATTTTTTTTGCTATAATAATAATAATATATTATCTACATTGAAATCGAGTTCTGTACATTTAGAAAGATGTGTTAATGTTTATGTTATTCAAAAAAAAAATAATATTGAGAAAAGAAAAAGTTCTACACAAGTATATATATTAAAAAGATCATGTATCCTTAAGCTTGTTCAAATAAGAACCAAGCTGTTGTTCGAATCGAACACACCTTTGTCCGGCGCACCCCCTCCAACACACACTCTTTCCAATAACTACATGAAAGGTACAACCTTTCGTACATTGTATTACAACATTATATAAACTTTATAATTTAAGGCAATTTAAATTGATTTTAAATAAAGTATATTTCTATCAATCAATTGATTTTCATTTTCGGTTATTATTTTGTTGTTTTTTTGTTTGTTTGTTTTTTTAAGTTCTTTTTGAATCTCAATCAATTTTAATTTTTTTTATTTAATACTTGAGAGTGTTGCATATAATGGTGTGATGGAAGCCGCAAGTAGTATGTACATAACGCACTATTCAGTATTCACTGGGAATAACATAGACAACTAGTTTTACTCGTTCCATAATAAAATTAAAAAAAAAAAAACTTAAATATAACGAGTTAGTTGGATTTTTAGTTAACTAAAAGCTAGAAATATTAAGAAACTGTAAGAACTACCTATATCTATTTGACTGTATTTATGACCGCTTGATTTTGAAACGACATTTCTACTGAGACGCGACATTTTGAAACTCAAAAACAATAAAAATAAATCCATCAAATCAACAAGCATCATTCAGGTTAAAAACATTACAAGCAGAGAAAATAAAATTTAAAAAACGCTAAAACAAACAAATGAACCGCCTAGAATATTCGTGACCTCAATTCTAACCGATTCAAATATTGGAAATGTAATATTCAACCAAAAATTGAAAATGGTGACTGAAATAATCTCTATTTATAAAAGAAAACACATAGAAAAGAAGAACTTATGTCCACTATATTTTATTCATTAACGTATTGATAATTGATATTAACAAAAAAGCATTCATATATTTTGAGCATTGGCATTGAGTTGTGTTTGTTTTGATTTTAAGAGTTTTTCGTGGGACTGCAATGGTTTCAAATGAGTTAAACCAATTCGATCATAATACATTTTCGTGTGTTAGAGAAAACTAGTTTTGGTCCAAATTGCATTTGTATTAGAAATTATTATGAGGCGCAAATTTGCTTTACAAAAGAAAATGTATAAAAAGCATGATAGTATTTGTTCTATGCAATAAAAATTTCAAATAAACCATTATAAATGAAATGAATAAATGTGTTTTATTTTCTTCGTCTTTTCAATATTTTCTAATTCTTATTAATGATTTTCTCGGGATTGGGGAAAAAATTCCAATACAAATTAAATTTATTTTTGATGAAAAGTTTGTGTGGTATTCATTTTTGAATTATAATTTACTAAATTTCTTAAATAATAACATTTTTTGTGTTTTAGGATAATAATATCTAATTTTAACTATTCAAATTCATACATAACAATAACAATTGAGAAAAATATGCAATCGGACTAGATTTTTTATCATCTTAAAAGAATTTAATCATGATAATAGTGTATTAAATTAAATCGCATTTATTAACAATAATTGTAATTATTTATCGATTAAAATTCATTTTATTTAACTGAAATTTCAAATAAATAGTAACGATATCAACATTTGAAATACGGTGTGCAGTGCTGCCACCATGAAAATTACGAGAAAAGAGAAAAAAAATCCAATTCGCCCCAACGAATTCGAATCTATGTATATATATGTATATTGAACTTCGTGTAACAAAGTCTCATCACATCAATTGCAAACACACAAGACATTCAGAACACAAACTGCAATACATACGGTGAGACGTCAAATAGTGAAAAATCAATTGACTGAAAAAAGCAAGAGAAAAGTTCATTTTTTTTAATGTTTTAGAATTTAAGTGCATATATTGTTGAATTTATCATTTTTTTTATGTTGATTTTATTGAAATTGGTGTAAAATGCATATTTGTAGTATTGTGTAGTCATTTGTTAAATTATTGCTAGACATCGACCGACTGAAAGTTAAAAGAAAAAGAGAAAATAATCCCAAAAGAGCGAAAAAGGTTTGTTTAAAAAAAAATCATTTTCATTTTTATTAAGCAGATGCAAAGTGTCAATCATAAAAACGAGTCGTGGCGAGAAAATCGCAAGTTATTATTTCTCTGCTGGACGAGAATCGACATCGAATACGACCGTTAATTTTCAAGTAGGACAAACGAGACGAAGAAGAAGAAGAAGAAGAAAACAAATTCTTGTAGCGCCCAACTAAATAGTTGTTCCGATTGACTGACAGTATACAAAATCAAGGCAACAATCTAATTAAAATATGGGCTAGATTTAAATTCGATAAATTTGCATTTCGATGAAATAATGTATGAGAAAAAAGGCAAAAAACAATTCTATGTATTTCGCCGCATAAACTATACATAAAATTATTAATTTGGCACATATGTGTGTGCGATAGTGGCGACAACAACGAAGACAACGGCACACATACCGATGATGACAAACGATTGTGCGGTTGTCGATGCTTCGTTTGTATGGTATGTTTGTGCAATGCGTTTTATTGTTGTTTTTTATTAGTATGTTCGGTTTTCTTCCTCTTCTTCTTCACTAGCTCGCAATACTTTCTTCTGCTAGCATACTTGAGTATGCGAATGCACTGAGCTTGAGCACAAGAAACAGTGACATCAATTCTGTCGATGAGTTTTTTGTTCAAAGTAATCATTTACATTTTTCATTTTAAATGCGAATCGCCTCATTAATTTTTATACGCGATTTGCACCATTAATTCCTCTGTGATCGTTTTGTGAGCGATTTGGATGTTGAACTTCAGACATCTTGTTTTACCGTATGTGTTTTTGGGTGTCTTGTTTTTCAATCATTCTTACCAGTTGTTGCCTTAAATTTGTTACATTTATAGATGAAACATTCCAAACATCTAACCAACCAGCCAAAAAAAAAATCAATATACTATTTTTGATTCAAGAGTGTGTGCAATGTTGCAATACTTGTCAGTTGACAAGAGACAGAACAAAATCAAAACATCATTCATATATATATAAATTTATATGGTTTTTCCCTTCTTAAAAAATTGTTTTGCCCGTGGAATTTCGTCATCTAAAATTGGTATTCTCAACTAAAAATAGATATGGAATTTTGTGACTGTGCAACAAATAACTAAGTTAATGGTCACGATGCTCTAGTAATTGGCGAAAGAGACAATGAACTTTTGTATTTTATTCGAATTGATAACAACCTACATCGTCGACCAAAACACGACCTTATTACTATTATTTTTGACAACAACCGTTTTACCCCAGGTAGACTGAATACGATTCATATTTCCCAGCAAAGTTAATTACGAATGCGTGTATTCGATTATTGAGAATGGGTCATGCATTCTTTCAATACATTTAGATCATTTTCTATTCAAACGAATTGATTTTGTTCGTCATATTTATATTTTAAACGGATGATTCAGTCGTATGTAATCAGTACATGACCATACCCTATCTCTATACATGTTTTGCAATACGTAGCGTGCTCCACGAAAATTATTATGGAGAAAATCCTTCAAAACATCCATGATTTGCGCATGACCGCTTTCTTTTATAAATTTTGCTATTTGTTTTGGTTTTTCTTCATAGAAGTGCACGAACATTGTATACGTCAAAAGAATTTGTTTTTTTTTTTGTGAATTAATACCAATTGTCTAAACAACTTTTTATTTGTCTTCCACAGAATCCGACTGTTTTGTGTGTGTGTGTGTGCGATACGCGTAGACAGTAATAATAAAATCAATCCCGAATGAATGTCGCCTGACATTTTTGTGATAAAATAAGACGTAAAAGCCAATTCAGATCAAATCAAAATACTCCTAGAATAAAGTAGAAGCAAAAACCATGGAAGAAGATACGGAATATAAGAAACTACCCGTAGACGAGCGTTGCGTGCACAAATTGTGGAAGGCACGTCTTGATGGTTACGAGGAATTGATTAAAATATTTCGTGGCATTGACGATGAAAAGGCACCCGAATGGAATAAATATTTAGGTTTAGTAAAGAAATTTGTGATCGATAGCCATGCGATGGCACAGGAACGAGGTCTCGAAGCAACGCTAATTTATGTCGAAAATGCTGGATGTGCTGGAAAAACGGTTGGCGATGTCATGAGCGGATTGGTAAATAAATGCTTTTCAGCGCCAAAAGCCAAAGTTAAGGATTTGGCATTTCAAATTGCATTGATGTACATCGAAATTGAAAAACAAGATGCAGCTATCGATGAATTGGTGAAAGGTTTGGATGCAAAAAATCCTAAAATTGTGGTTGCCACCATTTCAGTACTAACGCAAGCGTTACGTGAGTTTGGAAATAAAGTCGTTGGCATCAAACCGTTTATTAAGAAAATACCCGTTTTGTTGGCCGATCGTGACAAAAATGTTCGAGAGGAAACCAAGCAGTTGACCATTGAAATTTTCAGGTATGCGTCACAATTTCTTTCTGTAAAAATTCAATGAGATTTTTAACACATTTGTTTTTGTTTTCCCTTCTCAACAGATGGATTGGTCCAGCGCTAAAGCCACACATCGCCTCAATTGCAGCTGTACTTTTAACCGAATTAGAAGGTGAATTTGACAAAATAAAAAATGAAAAATCAGAACCAACACGATACTTAAAGTCACAGCAAGAGAAACAGATTGCACTAAAATCGGCTGCCACTGGTGACGATGATGAGGGCGTAGATGAGAATGACGACAATCAACGGGAAGAAATGGATCCCATGGATCTCATCGATCCGGTTGATATTTTATCAAAATTACCCAAAGACTTTTTCGACAAACTGGAAGCGAAAAAGTGGCAAGATCGTAAAGAGTCTCTAGAGGCACTACAAACATTGCTACAAAATCCAAAGCTTGAAAGTGGCGACTATGGTGATGTGGTGAAGGCTCTGAAAAAAGTTTTAACGAAAGATACAAATGTGGTTCTTGTCGCAATGGCCGGCAAATGTATGGCTTTGTTGGCGAAAGGTTTGGGCAAGAAATTCTCACCGTATGCACTGTCTTGTATATCGGGAATTTTGGAAAAGTTTAAGGAGAAAAAAACGAATGTAGTGACGGCATTACGTGAAGCCATCGATGCAATTTATCCATCGACCACATTTGAAGCAATGCAAGAAGATTTATTGGAAGCGTTGAACAATAAAAATCCGAGTATTAAAGCTGAGACTGCATCATTTTTGGCACGTGCTTTTGCACGCACCCAAGGGACCTTACTCAATAAAAAGTTAATCAAAGCCTTTTCAACGGCATTGCTGAAAACTCTTAGCGAATCAGATCCAATCGTTCGTGATAGCTCAGCCGAAGCACTGGGAACATTGTTAAAACTTTTGGGTGAGAAAGCAGTTGGACCCTATCTCGTCGATGTGGACGCTTTAAAAATGGCCAAAATCAAAGAGTGTTCAGAAAAAGCGGAAATATTTGTTAAAACAGCTGCACCGAAAAAAGAACGAGCAACAACAGCACCGGCTAAAGCATCCACAACTGCAACGAAAGCAGGCTCATCTGAACCGAAACCAGTGGCTAGACCAGGAACTGTTACCAAAAAGGCAACTGGCACAGCAAAAAAACCAGCCTCGGCAAATGCTGTTCAAAAATCGGCCAGTTCAACAAAAGCCACATTACCAACTGAACGCGAAATATCATCGGAAGAAGCCGATGAAAAAGCTACTGAGCTCTTATCTGCTGATATACTAACGGGAATCGTTGATTCGAATTGGAAAAATCGGCTTTCCAGCGCCGAGACATTTTTGAGCTCAATCGGTGGCATCGAATCAAAATTGGGAAATGCACAAATTTTGGTACGACTACTGTGCAAAAAACCAGGTTTAAAAGAAACCAACTTTCAAGTTTTGAAACTAAAACTGGATGCATTAGCTGCAATTACCGATAAACTTGGAATGACCACAACAACAGCTGAGTTGTTCTTAACCGAAATCGTTGCCTTGTTAGCCGATACAAAGAATAGTGCGGGTGCTAATCAAGTTTTGACTGCTGTAGCTGATGCTATTCAACTCGAGTACGTTGTAATGAAAGTGATTGCAATTGCATTTGAGCAAAAGTCACCCAAAGTTCAAGCCGAAGCACTGAACTGGGTTGGCGGTGCGTTAAAAGAGTTCGGCATGCAAGTTAATCCAAAAACGTTACTCGACGATGTAAAAAAAGCCGTTCAAAGTATAAATCCGGCCGTTAGACAAGCATCAATTCAATTATTGGGTATTATGCATTTGTACATGGGCAACACATTGACAATGTTCTTTGAAAATGAAAAACCCGCAATAAAGCAACAAATTCAAGCAGAATTCGATAAAAATGCTGATCAAAAGCCACCAAAACCAACACGTGGTAAACCATCGGACAACGGGGCACATGCAGTAAATGATGAGTAAGTATTCGTCACTTGATTTGTACATTTCAAACAGTTAAACGACAAATTTGAGCATTCGGATAGTAATGTTTCTTTTCGTTTTGCATATGCAGGGACAACGACGAAGATGAACAGCCAGAAATTAAGCTTAGTGACATGCTTCCGCGTGTCGACATTTCATCACAAATCACTGAAGCACTGCTTACCGAAATATCGGATAAAAATTGGAAAACACGAAACGAAGGCCTTACAAAATTACAAGGAATCTTGAACGAGTCAAAATTGATAAAGCCAACTATTGGTGATTTGCCACAAGCATTGTTACATCGACTGCTCGATAGCAATGCTAAAATTGCACAAGTGTCGATGAATTTGTGCCAGCAATTGGCCGAGTCAATGGGGCCAGCGTGTAAGCAGCATGTTCGCACTTTGTTGCCAGGATTTTTAAATGGATTGAACGACAGTAAGGCAATCATGCGTACGGCCAGTATCCAATGTATAAATGCATGGGGTGAACAGTGTGGTTACAAAGAGTTTTTCGAGGGTGAAATGATGGCCGAAGCACTTAAATCGGGAAGTCCGTCGGGACGAACGGAGCTTTGGGGTTGGTTGAGTGAGAAATTGCCCACACTTCCACCAAAATCGATACCAAAAGATGAGATTCTGACTTGTTTGCCGTATCTGTATGCAAATATTTGTGATCGTAATGCCGACGTTCGTAAAAATGCAAACGAAGCCGTACTCGGCTGTATGCTACACGTGGGATATGAAGTAATGGTTAAAGCATTGGAACATCAGAAACCTGCTTCAAAGAAAACCATTTTGACCGCATTAGATAAAGCAAGACCAAGTTTACCTGTGAAACCATTGCCAAAAGGAAAACAACAAGCACCAGTCGAAGAAGTTGGTAAGTCAACAAAATCGGTTACAGGAAAGGCACAAAAAGCACCAACACCAGCCAATAAATCAGCCAATTCACGCAAGAAGGAAGAGGATGTTGACACATCACCACTTCTATCTATAAACAATTTGAAGAATCAACGTATGCTCGACGAGCAGAAATTAAAAGTGCTGAAATGGACATTCACAACGCCACGTGAAGAGTTTAACGAATTATTACGTGATCAAATGTCAACCGCCGGTCTAAACAAAAATCTTATGGCCAATATGTTTCACGAAGACTTTCGCTATCATTTGAAAGCGATCGAAGCACTACAAGATGACTTGAATTCAAATACAAAAGCATTGATGTGCAATTTGGATTTGATTTTAAAATGGATTTCATTGCGCTTTTACGATACAAATCCATCGGTTTTACTAAAAGGTCTGGATTACTTACACTTGGTCATGCAAATGTTGATTAGTAGCGAATATGATATGTCCGAAGTGGAAGGCACCAGTTTCTTACCACATCTGCTGGTGAAGCTCGGCGATCCCAAGGACGCAGTACGAAATGGTGTTCGATCGTTGTTCCGTCAAATATGTCTTACATATCCATTTACAAAGGTGTTTTCATGCATCATGGAGGGTTTAAAATCGAAAAATGCCCGACAACGAACCGAATGCCTGGATGAATTAGGTTATTTGATCGAAACATATGGCATGGGCGCTTGTCAACCGTCCGCCCAAATTGCACTAAAGGAAATTGCACGACACATTGCCGATCGTGATAATTCCGTACGAAGCGCCGCATTAAATTGTGTCGTTCAAGCCTATTTTATTGTCGAAGATAAGGTTTATAAACTGATCGGTCAATTGTCCGAAAAAGATTTATCAATGTTAGACGAACGTATTAAACGTGCAAAGAAAACACGAAAAGTTCCCGCTGAAGTGCCAATGAAACCAGTAGCTGTAATCAAACCAGACATTGTTGATGACGATGAACCAATGGATGAAGACGAACAAGATCCCGAATTACAAGAATCTCCACAGCCAGCGGTTATTATTCAAGAACCATGTGAAATCCAACGACCCAAACCAAGTGGACCCTTTAAACTAGATCAAGAATTCATTTGTGACATCGAAAAGGACTGGATTCGCAGTGATCAATGGCAAATACCAAAACCTTTGGATGTAAATACAGAATTTTTACATTCGCCATTAAAATCAACCGAAGTGAATGGTATTTCCTATCCGGCTGATCGTCTTCAACGTCTCATTTCAAATGCTCCACGACACATGCTATCACCGGTAAATCATGGTGTGAGCTACATGAACACAACCATATCGTTGAATCAATTGAACACATCACCGTCAGCTACACAAAACTTACCCGATATTCTACCAAAATTGGACCCGAATCTCATGCGCATCTTACGTTCAGTTGGAAGTTCAGACACAATCACCGCACGAGCTGGTTTGAATGAATTGAATGACATTTTAGAATCTCCCGAGAAACAAGCGGCTCTTCGTGACTACGAGGAAATTTATATTGAAAATGTTTGCCTTCAGTTAAGAAATTTGTCACAAATTCCCGTGTCAGATGCATTGGCCATATACCAACCGTTGTTGTCAAGCATCTACTCATTCTATACATCACGTTCGCTGGGTAAAAATGTTGGCATCGAACCACTGAAAAAGTTCATGCATTTGATCATTGGTTTGATGGTTGAGCAAAAACTACCAAACAGTGAAGAAAACGAGTATACCAAAGTGGTCAATGGCATTTGTTTGAAAATATTCGATAAATCAAATTTTACAAATATCATTTGTGCATTGATTCGACTTCTCAAAGAAACATGTTCAGCAGCCGGTTTGCCCAAATTCACTGATTTACTCATGAAATGCATTTGGCGAAATGTGAAAAATTTACCGGAAAAGTCGAATGAAATCGATTATGATGCAGTATTACTTGAAGTTCATGAGTTCATGGTTCAATTGCCGTCATCATATTGGCATCAACGACACGCTGACACGCCCTACCGCACAGTAAAAACAATAATTCATCATTTGGCTCAAATAAAAGGCAACAACATATTACAACACTTGTCAAAGATTCCAACACATTCAGAGCTCTATTCGTATTTGCTGAAAGTACTTAAGGTAGGTGTTTTATTTTCAAAATTCATTTAATCTTGATTACAATTATTTTCAATGCATTTCTATGTCTGTTCGTAGAATATTCAAAAAGATAGCCAAAACAACGGAAGCAAGTCAAACACACCATCAAAGAAAACCACAGTACAAAGTCACGAAGCCGTTTCAGCAATATTCAAACTAATTTCGGATAAAGAGACAAAACAGGAGGGCATACAGAAACTATACGAATTTAAGGTATGTTTTTTCCAGATTTTGACTTTGTCAACAAGATGTTTATCACTCTTTTAATTTCGTTTTCAGATTAAAAATCCCGACGTTGATATCGATCACTATTTGCACGGATCAAATCCCATATTTCGTAAATTCATTGATGATGGTTTGGCTGAATTGGAGAGAACCGCTGCTGAAAATAATCATGCAGATAACAAAGTATTGTCAGAGAATCGATTTGGTGTAACGAAGGCGTTTGGAAAAGATCCAGATTATTGGATGGAGCGATTAAATGCTTTGAAGGTAAATCTAATCTTACGAAATGCCCAAACGAGTAGACTTTTTTGGATTTTTACTCAAAACTTGTTACAATTTTTTAGAAAAATGCACGTGGAGCAGAAGAACAAACCGACAATCGATCGTCTGCTGAGAATGTCAACGTAAATTTGCTGGCCCAAAAAAGTTTATTCACGCAAAAAGAGGTAGGTCGATTTTTCTCTTTTTTTTCAAATGCATAGTATTTCATCAATATTTCCTTTGTGTTCATGTTCTTTTTAGACAACGGAAAATATTAGCAGCAATCGTCTTGAACTGATGAAACAGCGTTTGGCACAAGTACGATCACAAAAATAAGTCACAATGCATGGTTGAAGATACTTGACTGTACATTGAATATTATTCGGTATTCCGCTAAACAGTTTTTCTCATTTGCATCGAATTCGTCCCGTAAACAGTGAAAGCAATTTTTGTATGGATTATATAGTCAAGAGACATAATTGATTACTGGCTTATTATTACACATTCTCAAAAATATAACTCAATTTCATTGACGATTATGTTATGTATTTCACTTACCATCACCATTTGATTATTAGTGTTCTTATTTCTAACAGATAAACACACATGATTAATCTCAATCAAGGATGAAGATTAAAGAATAACTAATAAATTTAATTTATATCCAAACATCCTAACTAATAATGAAATCATGTAATATTTAGACGTATAAAAAAATTAAAAAATAAAATAATGCCCAGTACTCTAATTTATTTCGTAAAACACCATTCTTTTGCATTTCTTATTATTTCTTATAAAGCAATTAACTAATAAAACCTAATTAAAGAAAACATGAAAATACGCAGTATCCGTTTATCATTATGATTATATTATTGGCAGTGCTAGACCACGATGTCGAGTCATGATGGGACTTATGTTCATCCCCGGACGAAGACCTCTTCAACGTTATCCCAATCACCGATCCGCATGTGTATTGCATAAATTTGGAATATACATGTTGCTTCAATGAAAAATATATAAAGATCTGTTTGATGTGAAATTTCTGAATAAACAAAAAGCCAAGAGTAATTTGTAGAAGGGCCATTGCCATTTTTATTAAATAATTATGATTTATTGAGTTAATTTCCTTCTAAGGATTTTTATTATTTTGAATAGAAATATCTAAATATTTAGAGAACGTCCGTTTTGTAGATGCTTCTTGGTTTTGGTTTTGGCGGTCCTCTCAATTCATTCAGTAGACTGGTCAATTGTTCGCATTTACTGCCGCTGATTTTTTGATACTTGGAAATAGTCACAGGTAGCAGTGTATCAACCAGATAAGTGTTATTCTTCGATACAAAATTCAACTAAAATACAAAAATTCAAATTGTTTATTAAATTATTTCTTCAAACCAGCAAATATGTTAAAATATTGAACATTTCACTTACGTCAACAGTAACACTTGAGCTCGGCTTTGAGTTATATTGAGCCTTAAACAATTCACGTAATAACTCTTGAGTATGTGGTCGCATTGCTTCCATTTTGGCGAGAACAGCGCAACTTTCACAAATTGATAGATAATGCCGGCAGAAATTAACGGTGGATTGTGTTAAATTGATCCATGTGTCGCCGGTAACTTGTGATTTCATATCGATACCCAGCGCATCTAAATCCCTTAGAACATTTCGAAGGTTTGATTTCGTTTGTAAATTGTATGGTTGCCATACTTTTTCGGTTCGATTTATTGTGTCAACTAATCGTTCGCGAGACTCTTTGAGTATTTCCTTCAACGTGTTTGTTAATAAGCCCTCCAAATGATACAACAAATCCAAACCAATTTCGGATAATTTTGCGCATGGTTCTCGTACTCCATCCACACATTTTGCCACGGCTTCTAATTGTGAACCTTTGGTGAGATAATGTTTAATGAGCTGTGACGCAAAATATTGGAGCTCGTAATTACACCAAACGACCAAAGCTGAAAGATTTTTCCAATTCAATTGAATGCCATTGACATTTTCAAATAAAATTTCATCACTTACTGCTCATGCAGGCTCCTTTGTTTTTGAAGGCTTTCAGAAATTCACTTGCCACTTGAGCCAAATCGCAGAAAAACAATTGCGAAATTTCCAAGTTGTTTCGACGTGCCTGTCGTTGTGATGATCTGATAGCAGCCGTACACACTTTTAAAATGGTCCCACATGCTTCACGATCCTTATTCATGTCTGCCAAGAGCTTGAGTTTGACTCGGGACGATACTAAGGCAGCATACAAACTTCGTGTTTGACAATTTGATAACTCATCGAGTAGCACATTCGATAGATCATTTTTGAGTTGTTTTATCTAGAATAAACGGCATTGCATTAGAGATGAAACCATATTTTTGTATTGCATTTCACAAGCTCTTACTTTTTGCATAGTTTCGCTTGCATTGTGAAATGAATTATCTTTTACAAAATATTCTTCACATTTTGTGATCAAAGTCAATGCGTCTTCAAAATGACGTTGAGCGATTAGAGTGTGAAATTCTTCGTGTGCTGATAGCACCCATTCAGGAGCATATCTGACATTGACTATTTCAGATTCACTAGCAGTGGATGTAGGACTGACTGTTGCTTCGCTCGCCAAACTGGTTTTAGTTATGGATCTTGGAACAACTGTCGGTCGGGCCGAATGGCTTGGTGGCTTTGGTGCGGGTGCTTTCTTCTTTTTCACTTGATTAAATTTTAGAGCCATTTCAAATTTATCGATCCATTCATTCTGAAAGGGATAAATAGATCTCGTGGTCAGTTGATTTGAAATTTGCAAAAGGAAAATGTATTTTAAATGTACCTTCGTCGTTACACTTATACATTGGAAAATTTTCGAATCATCTGGTGTGATGACATTAATTGCATTTTTCACACCATCTAAATCTTTTATATTGATTACAGCTATTTTTGTCGCATCATACTGAGCAGCATATTCCAGTTTCCTGTTTCAGAAAAGCACAAAAGAAATTAACTGGGCCCAAAAGTGAAATTGTAAAATTTTTAATTTACTTATCATGCTTCACTTTTCCCACGATAAGCAAATCATTTAAGAGGAAGAAATAAACGCGACAAATCGGACGATAATATTTTTCTGCATCCAATTCGATTAGAGCACCTTCGTGTAGAAAGGTTTTATTTTCTAAATTTCCAGTGAAACCAATCAAGGATTCCTGTATTGCAGCAAGTGCTCGCTTATTTTGGATTTCATCTTTGTCCGCATCTGCAAATAAAAAATTCATTTCATTCACTTTCTGCAATGAAATGAATTTCAATTATGATTTTACCATTTGTCGGCTCATTTAATAATACACCTTTTGTATCGTCAACTGAGTACTGTTCACGCAATGTTGATAAAATGTTTCGTTGTTCAATCAGCAAGTGTGATAATTGATACATTTCGGATTCCAGATCTAAAGAAACAAAAAATTATGATATGATTAGCATTTGACTGGTGTCGATATTGGAGGGCATATTATACGTGAAATCTCCTTAGCGGTCTCGATGAACTGCATGTAATTGGCATAGACATGTTTTTTCAATGACGAAGATGTTTGTTCGCCATATGATTGTATCTTTGATTTGCATTGTTGAAGCGCTGCACCGCCCACACATTCCTGCACCAATTCTTTCACATCTAGAAGTAAATAGAAACTAACTATCGCACTTATAAATAATATTTTGGTCAAAACATACATTTTTCCGCTTTAAAATCACTTTCATCGAATGCTTTCATGTTTGGCTCGGGCATTTTACTGAAATTACTATCCGAATTGTCTTGCTAACCCGAAATATTAAATTGAAAAAGAAAACTTCAATGAAAACATCAAAGAAAATAAATAAATGAAAAATTCTGATCGGTTTTATGTTGAAGCGATGACGTTTCTTCTCTTTATCACTCTCAAATTGACAGTTGGTTTCATTACGAAATGACAGTTCATAACGGATGGAATGGCTATTGCTTTCGTGAAATAACAAAATATATTTGTTAAACTATTGCAATAAACTTTTTTTATGTGAAACTAATTTCTTTTAAATAAAAAAATGTTTTTAGACCTGTCTCATTTTACAGACAAATGATATTGTTTATTAACAGTGTATCGTTGTTTACACAGCATATGAGATGGATATACACTGTTTACACATACAATTATCTCACTCTTACGCCTTTAGTTGTCATACCCGCACACCAAAACACACACGTAACTCGTCATCAGTATTTAACACACTTGTCACAGCTGCATTTTGCTAGCGACCGTCTAAGGTGTTTACTTTGACCTTACGGTTTTTTTGTCTATAAACGCTTTTGTGCAATTAAAATCATTTGTTTAAATATTATATTTTGTTCAATAGATAAATTAAATTAAATTTTTACAAACGCCAAAATTACTGTAGTCGCCGCCGCAGTTATTCGCTTTATATTAAACCGGCTACTTGACAATTAGTGCATTTATATTTCATTTTTATTTGGAAGAATAAGAATGAGTTTAGAATCTAATTTTAAAGTGAATGAAAATTATAGAAATTAAATATTTAAAATGCCTCTTCCGTCCATCACCGTCATCCTTGGTGCAATTTTTATGATTTATGTTTCGTATTCCGTATATACACTATCGCAATTATTCACAACGCTTCAATGTACATCGACGCCGTGCTATACAACGATTTTAGCTAAACTACCGAAATTACAATTGAATTTATTTGTATCGCCAGTCAGCAATCCGCTTACAAACGATGTCACGAAAATCGGAGCTATTGAACATTTTGACTATTACAAAGAGTTGAAGCGGTAAGTTTTTTTTTATTTTTAAAATTGCTTAAAAATGTTGCGATTTTAATTTTTTTCTTTTAATTTATGATGCAGTGACTTTTTGGTAGACATTCCAAGAAAAACATATAGAAATGGTACAATGTATTTACATTTGGTGTTGGTAAATGATATTGGCGTGCAATTCGAATGGCGACACTTAAAACGGGAAGGACTAACCATACTCCAACGTATCGCATTGACTGAATATATGATTCCACGGCCGGCAACATTTAATTTGCTTAATGAAAATGAGGTGCGTAGATTCTATTTCGATTGAAATTTCCACAGAAAATAATCAAATCATTTCTTTGTTTGACAGAAAGAGCCTATAGCGTCCCAAAATCGAAAAACAGTATCGCATTGGAAACCAAAAATTTATGTTACATTATTAACTGATCATTTTTCTGTTTCAAATCAAGACATACCACCGGAAATGGGACCTTTGATAAGGTACGTTGATTTTATTTTAATCGCGGCCATTAATTTAATTCACAAAATGTTATCCTATGCATTTTATACCCATATAATTCATTTGCGGAGTAATTTTGACGGTGGCGGGACTGTGTGGAGTTTGGCGGAGATGACATACGAACTCTGTGTGTACGAGGGTAACAGCACTTCTATGTGTATCATTCTTACGCAGATGATTAGTAACTTAGCTGTGTGTACGGCTACTAAGATGTACGATTGGACAAAATAAATCTATGAACAGCAAAGAACGCTGTTGTACTCGTACACACAGCATTTGCATGCTATCTCCGCTGAACTCCGCATAGTCCCGTCATCGATAAAATTACTCCGCAAATGAGTTATATGGGTAATGGCACAAAAATATGTTTATTTGTAGAATCACGAAAGATAAAGATATTCTTCCCATCGTTCAGAATGATTTTCTTAAAACACGATTGATCGATTTAATTGAAATGAGTTCAAATACAACGAATCTTCCATTGACGTTCACATATACACCGATTAGTATTGGCAAACTTCGACTAATTTTGCATGTAGAACACGCACTCAGAGCTCTGAAGCAATTTGGATTTACAATCAAAGATATCGACGAAGTCAAAGGCATTTTCTCTGAAGCAAACTTGTATTTATTATGTGGTACTATGTTCATTGGTAGCGTTCATGTAAGTTTTTTTATTCAATCGTTTGCAAAATGTCCCGCTTACTAGTTAAGACCAGTATAATAATAATCTGGCTATTTTACGACCACTGATTTTGACTGATAGTTGAATATTTTGATTACTTTTTTTAAAATTTATAAATGTTTTACATTTTACAGCTTCTCTTCGATTTCTTATCATTTAAAAATGACATCTCATTCTGGAGGAAGAAGAAGAGCTACGTGGGCCTATCGTTACGCACAACTTTGTGGCGAACTTTTAGTCAAATTGTAATATTTTTGTACTTAGTGGATGAGCATACATCACTTTTAGTGTTAATCCCCGCGGGTATTGCAACTGTTATAGAGGTAGTTACACATAAATAGTTGCCAATGGCACATCATTATTAAAGAATCGAAATTGATTTTATGGTATATTTTCAAGTTGTGGAAATCGAAGAAAATTTTAAAACTTGAATTGTCATGGAGTGGCATTAAAGTGAAATCAACCACTGAAAATAAATCGCTTCAAAAGGCTGAGGCACTAACAAAGGAGATTGACAGAGAAGGAATGCGCTATTTGTGTTATTTGTTGTATCCATTGTGCATCGCAGGGGCCGCGTATTCGTTGTTATATCAACCACATAAAAGGTAAAATTTTGGTACCTTTTTTTTAAAATTAAATCAAATTCAACCATCGCCTACCCAAAAATTAAAGGATTCAAAAGATTTCGTAATCTTAATTTTAATAATTTAATTTTAACCTTGATCATTTAATAGTTGGTATTCCTGGACATTGAACTCATTAGTGAATGGAGTGTATGCATTCGGTTTCTTATTTATGTTACCGCAATTATTTGTGAATTATAAATTGAAATCAGTGGCCGCACTTCCATGGCGTGCATTCATGTACAAAGCGTTTAATACATTTATCGATGACGTATTTGCATTTATCATAACAATGCCCACATCGCATCGTATTGCCTGTTTCCGCGACGACATTGTGTTTTTAATTTATTTGGTAAGGCAATTGATAATCTAAAGTATTTTTAAAATATTTAATATGTGTGTCACTTACAGTACCAACGATGGTTATATCCGGTGGACAAGAATCGAATGGATGATGGTACTGGTGAATTTACGGAAAGTGACGCTGTTGAGAATCACGATCAAGCCAATTCTAAGAAAAATAAATAAATAAAAATAAATTACAAAATATCGCACACTTCAAATTTTAACTATCGACTATTGAAAAATACATTTTCATCACTAAATAAAAAAAAATATATAATTCGTTTTTCTTTTAAAACTTGACAATTAATTCGTTCCATTGAATGGTTCTGGTAAATGTGACATTTTATCCGATGCAAATTATAGGATGATGAATGATGAAAAATGTTCAACAAATATGCTGACATACTGCAATCAAAAGTGTTAAATCACATATTACTATGTATTATCTAAGAGCGACGGACTCTCAGATATATAGTGCGAGCGTGCACATACACCATACTTATATAGGCAAACGTTTTGTGTATAATTGTTATTAAAGTTACGTAATTGATTTGTTTCATTTATTTTCATTTCGTGTTTTTAGTTCAGCTGACATCTGAACGCCATGCGATATATATATATATATATGTATCATATATACTGTATTTGTAGCCACTTGAGAGTCTCAGTTGAACATTGATCGTTCGGATAGCAACATATATATGTTGAACGTTTGAGCGTTTGTATGTAGTTATTTGTTTTGTTTGATTCTGTACTGTTTTTTTTTTGTCTATTTTAGAACACAGTTTCAGATATAAACGAAGTGATATGAAACACAGAGAGTTGGTCGTAATATTCTTTATATCAGTGAAATAAATTATAATGTGAATATTGAATGAAGGCTGCTGTTAAGAAAAAGTTTAACTACTTATTTTTGATGCAGGATTTGCATTTTTCGATTCAGTTAATGTGATTCTCGATATCATTGACATCAGATTGCTGTATGATTATTCAAAAATTTCACATGGTGCTCACTGAATTATTTGTCAATGATAAGTGAAAATTCCATTTAGTCAATTCTTTGCACATGAAATGATATAGTAATATAAAAATACTTGAAATATTTTTCCGATCATTTCTAGAAGAACAAATTGATAAAAGTGAATTGTGTATTTTGAACAGTTTGAAAACGGCAATAATAACTGAATTTGTATTCAATTGACTGATAATTGTCGATAAGATAGCTATATCATCTATTTATTATAGTCAAGATTCAGAAGATTCAGTCAATCACATCATTAATAACATGGCAATCGACGATTTACATCCAATTATTTTTGCGGCCAGTTTGTTCTGTGGATTTTTTTTATGGCGAATTCTGAAAATGGCTTCCAAACCGATGACAACAAACAGTGGATCAAGAATCGGTTAGTAGTTCAATCAGTTTTCTTTAGTTCCAGTGATTTCTCGCCATACGTAAGTTGTACCTTTTCTCAGTGCTGTAGTTGGAAAGAATGTAATCTTTGGGAGTTTTTTTGAAAAGTTATCTACCATTGAACTCCACTCTAGAAGGACTTATTGTTTTAGATACGTCAATATGTCTGTTTATTTAAGAAACAATGGTTTATAATGTATAACTCTAAATTGGAATTGTTGATATCCTTCACTATGCAGCATATTAGCTAATAATCATAGTTCCCACACATTCAAAGCGAAGTCACTTATATTATTAACTTCGCGTGATATCAAGTGTTTAACAAATCATTAATTTTGTCGTCAGAACTGTCCGTTTCATATGATTTTCATTTAAACATACAGAAAATAAACTTATCGAATGTTGGATTATGCGGAAAATTAGTCAGTGGAAGCATCAAAATACGACTAATGATGTTTACAATGAAGAGAGATTGGACAACAAATACTTTAAGGTAAATTCCAATGCTCGCTGGTTTCTAGGCGACCACTAAAAATCGTTACATTTTTTGCAGTTTTTTGGTTGTAATCAAAGCGGGGAGGCAATTTTCGTTGAATTTAAAAATAATGACGATTTTCAGAATATTAATTTTATATTGAGACTCAAGGACGGCACGTATTTGACAATACCAGGTACAAAATAAACGGATAGTAGTATATTTGAATTGATCAGTTTTTGTTTGATTTTTTTTTTCTATTTTGATTAGAACAATTACCGAACGCAATTACAAATTATCATCAGAGTTTCTCGTCCAGGGGTGTAACGATACAACGAATTTTACCGTATTATAAGTGGAGAATTACCTTTAACGGTTTGATTGATTTCAAAAAATCTGGCACACAAAATGACACAAATGAACTACAACATGTTTCATTTTCATTTTTGTACGTGATTTAACCGAAATTAATGCTTATTTTTCTGCATACTATTGTTCAAAAAAATGTTCACTAATTTATTCGTAGTTGGACTGCAGCATCGGACCCATTGAGTTGGCCAAACAACTGGAGCCCAAAACTTTTAACTCGTGCATTTGGTCATGTTGAACAATTAGAGTATCATTTAAATGAATTGTGCGTTACATTTCTTATGAAATATTGAAACATTTTCTGCAATTTCATTATTTCTCGAACAAATATTTTTAGATTGATATCCGATAAAGGATTTGACCAATTTGGTTCATTATTTGGACAAGTAACCATAGAAAATGGAGACTCAACAGAAAAATTTGAATTAAATCTACCTGGAGTTCGAACAAGTCGTCAGATAGACGAGAAAACTACGAATCATTCACAAAGTACATGGTCTCTGGTGGCTTCGTGCAAAGATGGCCTTGTTTTATCGCTATCAGCACGAGACATTGAAAACGAAAACAAGTAAAAACCGTATCAGAATTAAGTTGGAAAATTTTAAAAACATGTCAATAAACAATACATTACTTTGAATTTCAGAGTTTACTCGGGTTGTGTGCGAATGCCAAGTATGAATGTACATCGTATCAATGATGTTAATCTGAATGCGTCTGATTTTGTTGCAACGAAGTCACCCAAAGAAATACATTTCAATATCAAAGGTGAAATCAGAACAATGCTTGCAAATAGAAATAAATAACATAAAATTGTTTGTTATCTTTTGAACTCTAATCTTTGTAGCAACCAACAAAACGTTCAAATCAATTGTTCGTATTGCACCCAATTCAAGTCAAACAATTCACAATGCTGGATATTTAACAACTAAAACACCATTTACAATAGGTCAATATTTTTATCATTTTTATTCGGCTCAAATGAATCTATTGTATATCAATTTTTAACGACTTTAGATATAAATAATGAATGTGGGTACGGATTCGTGATATCGTCCTCAAAAAATTCGACTTGGAATCGAATTGTCGAACCAAAGCGAGACATATTGAAATTGCGAAATGTCCGGAAATTGGATACAGTAACCTTATTTTTCAATGAACCCGATGCACAGTGTGAACAACTTTGCGGCGGAAAAGCATCTTCTTTGGCTTACCTTACTCAATTATCGAACAATGAACGCCATCAAAAACATAATTTTGTGGTACCACAGGGTTTTATATTGACCACCGATGCATTTGATATTCAACTAAAATCCAATCGTCGAGTCTATGAAGCGATTTCCAACATTGAAAATATTGCATACAAGCGAAACAATGGAAATTTAGAAAGTGCTTGCGAGGTGGTGTCAAAACTTTTCACGGATACACCAATTGTAGAGGAAATAGCAGATGAAATCAAAAGAGCTTATTTAATTCTTAAGAATAATACTGGCTCGTCATTAAAAGTGGCCGTTAGATCGTCTGCAATCGGCGAAGATTCAATGGAATCATCATCAGCCGGTCAAAATGAAACTTTTCTCGGTATTCAAAAAATCGATCAAATTTTATGCGCCATCCAAAAGTGTTGGGCTTCCTTGTTTACTGTACAAAGTGTGACCTACCGGATTCAAAATATTCAGCCGATTAATACAAAAATGTCAGTACAATATTAAAAATTTCTTCTATCTTTACCAACCCGAGTGGAAAAAAAGTGACTAAGTTACTATTGACTGTAAGTGACTATAGTTAGCTATATTTATGAATTTTAAAATTTTGTATAGAAAACAATCGACTATAGTTACTCAGTCAGTCAGGCGATTATTTTGGGACGTTTTGACTATCGGGTGACTATGATTATTGTCAACTATAGTTAGCTGTTGCAGTTAACCATAGCTTGCTTTAATTGATTGAAGTTAACTAAATTTAACTAAGGTTGCTTGTTTTTACAGTCAATAGTCAGTCACTTTTTTTGTACGCGGGAAACTATTGAATATATGAATCTCATTCTTTTTATAATAATTAAACGAATTAGGTCAGTGGTGATACAGACAATGGTAGCAGCAGATTGTGCCGGCGTTTTGTTTACGCAGCATCCTGTCTCAAATGATCCAAGCAAACTATTAATCACTGCTAATTATGGCTTGGGTGAAGTGAGTGTTAATTAGTCATTTTCCCTGTTGAACGTGTAAAACAAACAGATTTTTTGCAGTCGGTGGTTTCGGGTTTGATTGATCCAGATATGTTTATTGTTCAACGTTCTTATAAAAATAACAACTTGAAGATTGTAGAAAAAAAATTGGGTGGAAAACAACAATTTGTTCATATGTCCATGGGTAAGTAAAAGACCATAACAACATGCATAACAACATTTGAAACAATCATTGATTTTTAGATAACGTCAATAGTTCCGAAGTCAATGATACTTTACGAAAACAGCTATGCTTAACTGATGCGAACTTGCTAAAGTTATGTGAAATTGGCATCCATCTTGAAGAAAGTTATGGTTCACCCAGAGATATTGAATGGGCAATTCTCAATGTAAGTTAACTTATATTTTAAAAAAGTTCAACTTATTGGAGATCGCTTTAAAAAAAACGAATGTTTTTTTTTCAAACTTAGGACAAAATCTACTTACTTCAATCCCGTCCAATGACATCGACTAAAGCATTCAGTTCTTGGGAATTATTGCATGAGTTCGATACCGCTGTCATGAGTGAATATGATTACTTGTAAGATCTAGAACTTACGTATAAAAAACATCTCAACGTTCTGCAAGTTTTACATTTTTTTATATGATTCTTTCAGTTCTTTTGGGAATGTCGGCGAAGTCATGTCACAAACTGTATCGCCTTTAACCATATCGGCATTGATGCCGTCATTCGAAAAGGGCCTATTGAAAAACTTTCCGGTTTATAAAGAATCAAAATTTTTCGAACAAATCATGGCCATTTCGCATAACCGAATGGCAATCAATGTGTTTAGTGTTTTTCTGCGAATGGTGAAGCGTGAAATAACAATGGAAAACCGTGTTCATGGCATAGCAATTATGGGTCATGAATTTATCACAGATGAAATTCATAAAATAGGCGCGCATCGCTATGGATATGCCAACAAATTAACCGAACTATGGAATATGTGGGCGGTTTTAAAAGTGGGTTGGAACGGAAAACCACGAGTTGAACAACTTAATCAATTCATGGAAAAATTCATTGGAACATATAATCGACGTAATTTACGTGTATTTCAATCGCTTAAAGAACTTTATGAAGATATTACACTGAAAATTGGCAAGGACTTTGCGTACGTGCAAAGCGTACATGGAGCAACTACGATGATTGGGACTGTTTATCAAATTATCATATTTTCGGCATTGGCCGAAGGAAAAAAAGAAATTACCAATGAATATTTACAAGACGTGACTTTGTTATTGAGTTCATGTAAAAACGCTGAATCGGCCGAAATTCCAGTTTTATTAGAAGAAATGGCATCAACACTTTTACGGTGTAACAGTTCTAAGGCGATGGAATTTTGCGACATCAACTCAGATAAAGGCATTGCCTGGCTTACCGAAAATTGTATTACGGCATATACGCTATTTGAATTGTTCATAGAACGTCATGCACATCGCGGTTTTCAAGAGGTAAGATTATTTTTCTGTAAATTTATGTTTGTGATTGAATCAAAAGGAAATATTGCTTTAAACATTTGAAAATAGTTTGATTTTGGATATGAGACGTGGGGAATGAATCCGTCATTGGTGATTGAAATGCTGCAAAAAACGATTCGAAACCGAAACATGAAAGGATCCCAGAGAAAATGTACCGAAAAACGAACAAATGAAGAAATTTTGGCCGAATTAAAAACACCGTCTAAATCATCAACATTGTAAACACATATAAAATATTGATTCACTCTTTTTGATTTATATAAAAATATGTTGTTTTTTTTTTAATTGCAGGCGAACGATTCGTTTCTTCTTGCCACGTTGCCAAGATTTCGTCGAATTGAGGGAAAAGACTAAGAGTCAACTTGTCGCTTACATACATGAGCTGCGCAAGGCTTATTGTTATTTGGCCGAAAAAATGCAAGAACAAGGATTATTGCCCGACATGGATTTGATATTTTATTTAACACATCAAGAAATTGGCACAATTCTTGAAGATCGCAAACGAAGTGATTTAATAATAAAGGCAACTCGTCGTCGTCGTTTGTTTCCCGAATGGAAAAAATTACGTTTCGACGAATTTCAATGGGGTTGTATGAAACCAAAGAACAATGATCAAGATACAATTTATTCAAATTGTGAAAAAGTTAATGGAACACCAGTATGTGAAGGAAAAATAACGGGTAGGGCTTGTGTTGTAAAAACATTTGCTGAAGTTTCAAAGATTAAAGCTGGAGATATTTTGATTACATATTGTACTGATATTGCATGGAGTCCCTATTTCCCGATCTTAAGCGGTGTCGTTACCGAACTTGGTGGTTTAATTAGCCATGGAGCGGTAGTAGCGAGAGAATATGGGCTGCCCTGTATTGTGGGAGCAACAAATGCCACTAATATAATTTGTGACGGGGAACAAATCTGTATGGATGCAAATACTGGTGTTATTACCAAATTGGGAATAGAAAATCAAATAGAAATTACGTAAAGTTTTTAAACTCTAAAATCATTTCAATGTTTGCTATTTAATTTTCAATAAAAGATAAAGCCAAACTGTCACTGTTAATTTGTTAAAACGAGCGGAGATTTACTTATTTAAAGAATATATACTTTTTTCAGTCAAAAAATGTGTTTAAATAAAAAAACTGAACTGCTATTTGTCTAAATATTTTATTGATTAGAAAAGAATTTTCACATAGATATCACTTGCTTGTTTGCTTATATGGTACAAATAAATATTAAAATGTTCACATTGAATTTGAACTGAAGCATCTAGTCTAGTCTCTAACAAATTCACCGATATCAATATTGGACAGTTTAAGATGTTGCATGATGTTTCTAGGTTCAAAATATCCAGTATCAGTTGGATTCTCTGGTTGTGGCACAAACGGTGGTTCTATATTTGGTAGATTATTCCAATCGATTGATTTGAAAAACATCATTTGTTGAACTTCTTTTGACGACGGTCGTTTGTTTGGATCCATTGTCAGAAACTGTTCAACGGCATCGATTGCTTCAGCTGTCAATGGTTCATCTGCTTGATCCCATTGTATGTCTGTTGCAAAGAAGAAAAAAAAATCATTAAATACCCTTCAAGTTGTTTGTATGTCATAAACAATCCAATTACTTCTGTTTAAAATGTTTTCGAACACTTGCTGTGGCGTTTCATCATTGAACGGTGGAATTCCCGTCATAAATTCGAAGAGACAAACACCAAGTGACCACCAATCAACAGCGACACCATGCTTTTGCCTGAAATGAAATCAAAAATAAATCGTTAAATGTAAAATCTCTGCGTTCAAAATATCAAGTAGAGAAGTACATACGATAGGAGAAGTTCAGGGCTTAGGTAATCTGGAGTTCCCAAAATACGTTCGTTCGATGCAGCTTGATTTCGTCGTACTGATTTTGGTGTACGAAACGGTGTGTGCTTTATTTTGGGTGTGTCGTCGACTATTTGAGCTGAATTTATTGGTGACATTACTGGTTCCTGTGGCGAAAACAGAGTTTCTTCAATAAATCAAATTTAAAAAAAAAATCCAAGTGAATGGCTTACATTTATGATCGAGCTATGGTTTTTGTTTTGTGATTTTTCTGCACTTGCGGGTAATTGGAACCGCGTACTTTTCAGTCGAAGAACTGAATTTCTGGGTTTTTGCGTTTTAAGCGATGACACTGGCGTTGAGAAAATCACATGTGCGCTATTTGGATGTTCACTAACTGGTGGTGGTTCATCGTCTGATAGTGGTCTGTAAATAAATTGATTGGCAACGCAAATTTTAAACACAAAGTGTGAAAACGAGAAAATGTTTCTATCAAATATTCAATTGGCCTAACCTTATTTTAAGAACACCTTTGAGTGGAGATTTGGATTTTTTACGTTTTGGTGTACTGCTTCCGATATCCATAATATCAATTTCTTGTGTTAGTCCCGTACTATGTGAGCATCCATCATCTGGCACGCTCAGCATATTGCGTGATCGCTTGGCCCCGCTAAATATAAACGAAATAATAGATGAATAAAGAAATTCAGATTAAATATAACACACACGGTGAGGAGCTTACGAATCAAAACACGGTCTTTTGAAGAACGATTTATGTATGGATTTGTTCAATGGTGATTCCGTGGATTTTGAATTGTTAGTATCGTTGCTAAGATTTGAATTGTTAGAACTAGAATGGGTTAAGAGTTTGCAATGACTTGACATTCGATAAATGTTATGATTACGTTTTACAATATTTTGTATATTTTTATGTACCTTTTTGATAAATTGGAGGATGAATTGGAGTCTTCTTTAATTGGATTATGAGATGAATTTTCACATTTCTCAATTGCCGACAATTCACATTGAATATTTGATCGGATTGATGATATGCCGGAGTCTTCGTTCTCTTTTAAATGCCGTGGAAATCGCATCTTCATTAGTGGATATTTTAGAGAGTCATTGTTTGTGCCATTGCCATCTTTGCTCTGTAAATGAATTTTGGACGGTAGGAAATTTCCTTTAGTATTCAATATAATAGAAAATCATTCGAAGACACAAAATCTACAACTTGCATCCTCTCTGTCTCATTGAAATGATTACCTTGCAATTTTCGCATTTTCTCTCTTTTATCATGTTTTTGAAGCTAACATTTGCACTCAGGTGACTACAATCACATTTCATCGATGTGCGGTTGCCAATACTGGAATTGCACGTATAATATGAAGATGCAGAGCCTTTCTGTACATTTAAAGAAAAATAAATCATACACTAATGGCACACCAGGTAAAAATAATGTGTAACTACTTTGATCTTTGTACTCACACTTTCGTTTGGTTGTGGTGCAGTTATCGACATATTTATGTCTTCGGATGAGAAGAATGGTGAAATACCTGACACATGACTGTCATTGTTCTTTTGAATACTTGAATCTAAATCATCGTTGAATCCTATGGAGATTGTTGAAAGAGAATAAAATATATAAAAAATGCCAAAATAGACATTATTGTTTTTTGAATGTATGCGTACTTTGTCGATTCATGATATTCATCAAGTTGTGCGGCTTAGAAGATTTGGGTTCGCCTGAACCAAATGTTAAGTGAGACGTTAACGATAGCAATTGACCAGGTGTTCGTGTTGTTAAACAAGGTGATGTTGTAATAAAATCTGATAGCTCCAGATCTAAAAGTACAAAAAATTGGCAATTTTTTTCAACATGAATGTGTCATTCAAAATAAATACGAGTATATCATTTATATTCCATGTTTACCTCTGCTAATTTCAATTTTGCTCAGGCCAAAATCAGTCAATTTTACATGGCCATTTGCTGATAGTAACATATTATCCGGTTTTATATCTCGATGAATTATACCGTGTTTATGCAAATATTCCAATGCCATGGTGATTTCGGCACAGTAGAATTGAGCTGCCGATTCACAAAAGTATCCATATGCGGCTATCAATGATTTTAAATCACCACCAATCATGTATTCCATAACCTTTAGATACAAAAAAAAAAACAATGTACATTTAAACATTTAGAATTAAGCGATATTATGATTCTCACCAAAAATACATATATATGTGTCTGAAGCGAATAGAAGAGCCGAACACAATATTCGCTGGTCGACAATGCCAGAACATTTCGTTCTGTAATCACTTGTGAAATCATATTTTTGTTTATCATTTCCGATTTTCGCATCACCTTCAACGAGAAAAACAGTTGAATACCAAATAAAAATACATAAAAAAATATTATTGTCACTTAAACGTGACGGATGAATGTTTGCGTCACTTACCTTTATTGCAAAAAGTTTACTTTCATCGGTATTTTTGTAGCCGAGAAACACTTGTCCGAATGCACCACGACTGATGATTTTAATAATTGAAAAATCTTTTATCGATGGCAACTAAATCATAAATAACGAAAAGAGAACGACCGGTTGATTTAGTTGATGCGCCAAATCTTGAAATGTATGATTGTATGTAACCTTACCCGTGGACTATGTGATGTCGTCAGTTTTTCAATTTTTGAAATGATGGTATCACCATCCAAACTAATTTCACTTTTTGAATCTGATTCGGTCATTTTTCTGTTTAAATTTTTATTCTTTAAAATGTTTTAGTTTTTCCGATTTGCTAATTTTTTTTTTTATATTTATAAACACATGCTTGTATATGAGTGTATACACAATGATTTCTACAATCGTTTGTTTTTTTTACAAAAATTTTTTTTTATTAATTTATATATCATGAGTTTTCGATTTAAATATAATGTTTTCGAATAAAAATGTTTTAAATGTTTTGATAATATTCGTTAATAACTTTTTTGTCAATGGGGATTGATTTGAAATATTTCACATTCGAACGTTGACTGACGGCTGTTCACGAACTGCATTTTTCACATAATGAACTGAAATGTCGTTGAAATTATTCATTGTAATGGAATAAATAACACTAAATTTTTTTCCTTCTACAGTCTTTACTTGGAATTGAAATAAATAATCTGAAATTGCTTCACAGTCATTTAAATATATTTTTTTTTTGCGATTTATTAATTTGATTGTATTTTCTCAATTTTTCTTCTTCAAACTATTACAATGAACGTTAATTTCAAATTGCCGTATCACAAGCCTTGGTGCTGAATGCGAACTGTCAAAAACAGTTGTTAAATGTCAAATGTGTCGCATTCTCATTGGTTCATGCAGTTTGACAGTACAATATGGCAATACAAACAAAGTATCACCCAACACCAATGATAAATGACACCGCAAATTAAAAAAAAACATATACAAGTGGTAAACTACATGTAAGCAAGCTGAAAAAAAACTTGAACAAACAAATAACGTGTAGAGTGTTTTCAGTTTTGATTTTATCTATTAAAAACGACAAAAATGTGGTATTGGACACATTCTTGTTGTTAAAATTTTAGTTTTTAGTCAATTGTTAATTGAGAAATAGTGGAAAATTGTATATATAAATACTGGTAAGAAAGGAAAAAAACTGATACTTCTCCAACGAAAATATATTTCATCAATTAAAACATGTTAATTTGATTTGATTTTTTTGCCGACTGCAGAAGGAGACAAAACTTAGTCAATATTCGCAATGAAACTTGTGTGGAGCATTTTTTGTTGTATTTTATTCACTGTACAATCGCTTGCGAGTAAAAGTCATCCCATTACAACTTTACTTAATGCAAAATGGGAAACAACGCCAATCTGTCTTGAGATCTCGGAATTTTTGTTCGATGAAAGTCCAAATCTTTATTGGGAATATGTAAATTCGTTGAATAAACTACCGCAACCACTTTATGAACTGGGTATGAATGACATTTAAATAGATTTAAAAAGAAACCGGTATTCATGTGACCAATTTATTCATAGATACCGATGCAAAGGTTTACAAATCGGCTTTATCAGCCGCGGAAAAATTGATTGGCCCGATTCAAGCGTCTTTGTTGAAATTGGTGCTCTCCATGCATACAATGTCACCGCGCGTTCAAGCCCATTTTCAAGTCGCTAGAGAAATACTCGAACAAGGTGACTGTAAAACTGACACATTCATCACAATTGGTACACGTGTCGCTTGCAGCCTTGATGAACTTAAAAAGGGAATTGAAAAAGTGAAAAATGCAAATAACCAAGAACAAAAAGACGATATTTACAGTTTCGATCACATCTATCCGGGTAGCGAAAATAATACAATAACTGCCATTCTTTACAGTGAAATTGGTTCACAAGATTTCAAAACGTTCCACGAGTACTTAAGTAAACAAGCTGAAACTGGATTGGTAAAATATGTATCTCGGCATTTTGTGAGAGTAAGTGAAGTGGTAAAACAAAAAAAATAAATAAGATTCAATTTTAATAAAGAGCTAAATTAACTTCAGAAATCTGGATCATCCCGTGTTCGATTATCTGGCTACGGTGTCGAGCTTTATCTAAAGTCAACCGAATATAAAAGTCAGGATGATTCTCCGCGATCGGATGATTCAAACACCATGGACGATGCAAATGATGTCGACAATGAAGTTGAAGGATTTGATTTTAAGATATTAAAGTGAGTATACTTGTTTGTATTATTGAAATGAATTCTTTGAATTAACAATGTATATTCACTTCCACCAGAGAACGTTATCCAGCTTTGGCACATTCGTTGGATCGTCTACGTAGTTCGCTGTTGGAAAAAAGTGATGAGATTGCACCGTTAAAAGCATGGGAATTTTCGGACTTGGGTTTACAAGCTGCTGAACGTGTAGCGCAAATTCAAGGCGAAGAAGCTCTTCAAATCTTACAATTCACTGCGCAAAATTTTCCGTCTCAAGCTAAATCACTGCTTCATGTTCGGGTGTCGGAAGATTTCAAAAAGGAAATGAAACACAATACCGATGTGCTTGCCAAAGAACTAAATTTTCAACCACCCGATGCATCACTCTACATAAATGGATTGTATTTCGATGCAGAAACACTTGACGTTGGTAATTTGGTTGAAACTCTGCGCGGTGAACTACGAGTTTTGTGCGGTTTACATAAATTGAGTAAGTTCAAACATAATTTATCGATATGATGCCGTAACTAAATACAATTTTTGACTTTTGTCATTGATTTGTTCAGAGCTCGGAGGTTCAGTCGCTTCAGATTTGCTTGCTTTAGATCTCGCACAGCCAGAAAATATTGAATTTGCCGTCGATATACGAGACTCAGCCGTTTTATGGGTTAATAACATCGAAACCGATTCAAAGTACCGTACATGGCCCTCGACAGTTTACGATTTATTACGACCATCATTCCCAGGCATGGTGCGCAGCATTCGTAAGAATATCTTCAATTTGGTGCTTATTATCGATCCAATAACACCAAATGCACGTGAAATCACAAAATTAGTGGAAAGTTTTGTCGCACATTCTGCCCCAATTCGTGTTGGTATTGTATTTGATACAAGAAAATCCAATTCAAAATCGGAAAAGATTTATCGTTCATTGTTTTGCGCATGGAATTACATTAGTCAAAATAAACGACCATTGAATGCACTTTCATTTTTAACCGATGTAAGTAATTGCACTGTGCATTTTCTTCTCTAATTTTAACAAACATAAATGTTTTCCCTTTTTCTTGTACTTTTAGCTCTTTGCATACCATAGTCCTGACGAAGATATCACATTCAGTTCGATTCGTAAACAATTTGAAAAATCATCAAAAGAATTGAATAGCGATCAAGTGGATGAAGTTCTCGGAGAAGATTCCGACTATGATTATGGTCGCCAGCTTGCTCTTGAATTTGTTGAGCGGTTAGGCTTTGAAAAATCGCCACAAGCTCTCATGAATGGTGTGCCATTGGAAGAAACACTTTTAAACGATCAAAAATTCGAAGAAGCCATTTTGTCAGAAGTTCTTATGGCAACAGTACCATTCCAGAAGGCTGTGTTCAATGGTCAGCTAACTGATGATATGGATATTATCGATTACATCATGTCCCAAACAAATGTTATGCCTCGGTAAGAAAGTGCAAAACATTCAATAAGTCATCGGATTTTTTTTCTCATCATTTCTTTTCTGCATTCAGATTGAACAAAAGGATAATGGCAAAAGAAGATACATCATTCATGGATTTCTCTGGTGAACCGCATAAAAGTTTGGAAAATATCAAGCTGCTGGCTCAACTATCGGCTCGTGATATGACTGCAACTTTATTGCATAATTTGAAATACTTCACAACAAAGAACTCAGAAGAGCGTATATTAGGGAAAAAACTGAGTTTGCTTACTATTTGGGTTGTGGCTGATGTTACAACAAAACAAGGCGCCGAAATGCTTAAGAACGCTCTACTGCATATGGTATGACATAACAATTAACTTCAACAATGTTTTAATTTCACAGAGAGCAATATTTGATTTTCATATTTCTCGTAGAAATCCACGTCCAGTATTCGTGTCGCATTCATTCCAAATACTGAAGGTATTGCCGTTGCTGATCGTTCGAACTTAAATCGTTTGGTTTGGTCTGCGGTGAATACACTGCCAGGTCCAAAAGCAACGTCAACTGTTTTGGAATGGTTGGAATCAGAAACTGAAAAAACAATTCCATCCGAAGTGAATGAAATTCTTTCGGAATCCGAATTACACATGAAAATGTTGCGTGTTTATGCACAGCGTGTGTTGCAATTGAAAGCAGCTCAAGCAGCGGTCATTTCAAATGGAAAGATTCTTGGACCATTGGATGAGAATGAAATATTTACCGTTGATGATTTTACACTGATCGAACGGTTGCACAACTTTTTGCATGGAGACAAAATTCGCGAAGCATTAAAGAAATACGATGATGTTGAAGAATCAGACAGTATGAGCACAGAAGACAGTGATTTAGTTTTGAAACTCGTTGGTTTGTTGGTGCCACGGCAAACACGAACTCGCGTTACAATTCCAACAAACATTCGTGATGCTCATTCAGTTGTCAATCTGCCACCAAAACAAAATGATATGCCATACATTGAAGTATTTGCTGCTTTAGATCCAGGTTAATAAACTATTTCGCACAATTTTATGAACTCGATATCAATAGAATATTTTCATTTTATATTTATAGCATCGCGTGGCGCACAAAAATTGGCACCAATTTTAATTCTATTAAGAAATGTTGTGAATTGTAATATGCGTGTTGTGCTCAGTGCTGTAGAAAAACACAGTGATATGCCGGTCAAGAAGTATGTTATTGAAACACTTCATTACAAATGTTTTGCAAAAAATTAATTTCATTTTCAAATTTAATTACAGTTTCTATCGTTATGTCATCGAACCTGAGATTCAATTCCAGTCTGATGGAAAATTCGCAGCCGGTCCATACGCAAAATTTGTTGGATTACCAAGTAGCCCATTGTTGACGCAAAATCTGCAGGTAAAATAAAATTCTTATGAGAATGACGGAAAATCGATGATCATTCGTAAATGAATCCCCGTTTTAATCATTAGGTTCCCGAAAATTGGCTGGTCGAAGTGGTTCGGTCTGTTTACGATTTGGACAATATCAAATTGATCGATATTAATGGTCCAGTGCATAGTGAATACGAGCTCGAATATTTACTGTTGGAAGGTCATTGCTTTGATTCTACCAGTGGATCGCCGCCACGTGGATTGCAAATTACCCTTGGTACTGATTACAAACCAGTCGTTGTGGACACAATTGTAATGGCGAATTTGGGTTATCTTCAACTCAAAGCCAATCCGGGAGCTTGGATTTTACGATTACGTCAAGGCAGAAGTGCTGACATTTACGACATCACAAGGTAAATTCTTTAAAAAAAAGTGTTTCCTCTATATTGTACAATATCCAATTTCCTTTGGTAATCTTTCAGTGCTGATGGCCCAAATACCGTTCACACCGAGGATGGTGCAACACGGGTCATTATTAGTTCATTCAGATCTCATGTAATAAAACTGCGTGTGACAAAGAAGAAAGGAAAAGAACGTGCTGATTTGCTTGCCGATGACGATGATGCAAATGCAGGCATTTGGAATTCAATTACAAGTTCATTTTCTGGCACTAATTCTGATGCTAATGAACCAGAAACAATCAATATTTTCTCAGTGGCTTCGGGCCACTTGTATGAACGTCTGCTTCGTATTATGATGCTTTCGACGATGAAACACACAAAGAGTCCGGTTAAATTTTGGTTTTTGAAAAACTTCCTATCGCCACAATTCATTGAATCTCTTCCGCACATGGCAAATGAATATAAATTCCAATATTCATTGGTTCAATATAAATGGCCAAGATGGTTACATCAGCAAACCGAAAAACAACGAATCATTTGGGGATATAAGATCTTGTTTTTGGATGTATTGTTCCCATTGGACGTTAAAAAGATTATCTTCGTTGATGCTGATGCAGTGAGTTGAAAATATATTGTTTTTAATCATTTATTTTTCATAAAAACACAATACGCTCATTTTTTTTTGGATAGATTGTACGAGGTGACATTAACGAATTGAATGCAATGGATTTGGGAGGTGCTCCTTACGCTTACACGCCATTCTGTGATTCACGTAAAGACATGGATGGTTTCCGATTCTGGAAACAAGGATATTGGCGTAATCATTTACAGGGTCGCAAATATCACATTTCAGCACTTTACGTCGTCGATTTGAAACGTTTCCGAAAAATTGCCGCTGGTGATCGATTACGTGGACAATATCAGGTAAGGAAAATAGAAAATGTAAAATCTTGATAATTTGATTAAAATACGGAAATTAATTATTATTATTTGTTTCTTCTTGATATAATAGGCTTTAAGCCAAGATCCAAACAGTTTGTCCAACTTAGATCAAGACTTACCAAATAACATGATTCATCAAGTTGCCATAAAATCATTGCCACAGGAGTGGTTATGGTGCCAAACATGGTGCAGTCAAAAGGAGTTTTCGAATGCTAAGGTTATCGATTTGTGTAATGATCCTCAAACAAAAGGTGAGCCAAGGGTTTTTGCTCATTTTTAATGTATACCATTTATAAACGTAAATTCAATTTTTTATTTATGTAATAGAACCAAAACTTACTGCCGCTCAGCGAATTGTACCCGAATGGAAAGACTATGATACTGAAATCAAGAACCTACTGAGCAGAGCGCAAGACCAAGAACATGAAGATGAAGTTATTGAACCCGTTTCAACGGATACCAAATCCGAATCGATCGGCGACAAAGAAAAACACACTGAATTGTGATTATTGTTCGTTTTAAGTTTTCGCATTTAGATCGCATAAAACTGCGTATTTGATTGTTTTACACATTTTTTGTATATTAGAAGAAACAAATAAATCAATTCCGAATGAATACAAATTATAAACATTTCGTTTTTAAATGCCAATTCAATTTTTTTTTTTGAATAAGCGAAAAGTTAATCATTGAAAAGTTAATTTGTCTGATTTTTCAGTCAATTCTAGCAGAGAAAAATATAACTTAATTCAACTTCAATCGCAGTTGACTATATAGACAAAACCGTCCCAAATTAGTCATCTGTTTAAAATGAGATACATAGAAGACTAAAGTCGACTTCATCAATTTCAGTCGATTTCAGCTAACCAGTCAGTCAGTCACTTTTTTTCCACACGGGTACTTATTCTAATAATCGATTAAAATTTATGTAAAAGGGCATCAGTATAGGGCTTTTCTCCATGTCAATGACATCGATATATTAAGTATTTATTCACCGTACACAGAAAAATTATCTATCAACTATTTTCGTCACAAAATTGAAATCAGACATTTTTTGCTCCACATTTTGGTTTCGTCACTCCTTCTTCATCTCGACGGGGTATTTTCCAGAGTATCATGATTTGCTGCTGCTCAGCATAAAGCTGAGAGCTGAGAAATGCTGAACTCGTGCGGCTTACGCATAAGAAACGGATGCACGCACACATGCATTCTCCCCGTTTAAACGGTTATAAACAGTTGATTGGATGTTCAATTCAAAACTCAAAACTTAGTAACCAGTTGAGTTTGAAATTGTGTTGCGACCGACATATGAGAAGCTGCGAGAAAAACATCACATCGCATCCCTCGTTATTTTGCTTACGTAAGTGAAAGCAAAAGATGAGATGCGACGTGCTGTTTTTGCTCTCAGTCTTTCATATATTCTGAAAGTGTACGTCTAAAGCATACAAAACAGATGCACGATACATATTCCCCTTTCAGTTCGTATGTTCGCTGGTATAGTGTGTTACCGTTGTACCGGCAATAGCGTCAACGGCAGCATATACGAAGCGAAAGGGGAATCCGTTTTGTATGCGTTAGCCGCACGAGTTCAGCATTTCTCAGCTCTCAGCTATATGCTGAGCAGCAGCAAATCATGATACTCTGGTATTTTCCTTTAAATTCATTAAAATTTTCACAAGTAATTTCGGTGGACAATACATATTTTATAGTCATATTAAAGAAATGTTTACTTTAAAAAGATTATAATTTTGTTCGTATATTATCAGTTTGTGATATCATTCATGAAATTTTTATTTAATAGCATTCAGGTGGGAATTGATAAGAACTCAAAAACAAAGATAATATTGTGATAATGAACATAACACTATATAAATATGGCATATAATTTGTCTGAAATCAGTTTGAGAAAAATCACGTAAAATATAACACGAAGAGGTAGATATTTTTTAGTTTTTTATATTAACGCATGACATATATTTCTTTTGCTTTCTAGAAGTTACGAATTTGATTGTTGTGATTTAATACTTTTTCTTTTTACTTCAGATGTCGAAAACATTGGAAACATCACCAAACGCATTGATCAACAAAAACGTGTTAGATCGTTATTTATCATTAGGATTTCCAGAAAATGTAGTAATGGTAACTTATCTTTGGCTTGATCCCGATATTATTCAACCAATTCATTCTAAGGATCGAGTTCTTGACTTTGTTCCAAAGTCTGTCAAAGGTAAGAAATCAATCTTTCGATGAAGAAATCCATTTTTTAAATTGAAATTAAGACGAATAAAACGTTTTCAAATTTGTGTTAAAGACATCTAAATCGAATGTGTATTCGGCAGTGTTAATCATAATTGAAAATGTTACAATTATTTTTTAGAGCTTCCAATTTGGTGGGCAGGACACCTTGAAGATGATGGCTCTGTTTCTGAATGGTTTTTGCATCCAGTCAGAATATACAAGGATCCGTTCCGTCGTGCAAATCACATTTTAGTATGGTGTGAAACCTATTTGGACGATGGCAAACCAACCTTCAACAATACTCGCAATGAATGTGTCAAAATTGCAGATAAATGTGCCGCTGAGGAGCCATGGTTTGGCATTGAGCAAGAATATACATTTTTAGATTTTGATGGGCATCCGCTTGGTTGGCCGAAAACTGGTTATCCAGACGCTCGAGTTCTCGGCTATTGTGGTGTCGGTGCCAATAAAACGTACGGCCGCGATGTTGTTGAAGGTATGTAGTTTTTTTTTGTTAAGCTAGATAATTGAAGAGTGCTTAATTATTAAGTATTTCATTGATTTTGTTGAAGCTCATACTCGTGCCTGTCTGTATGCCGGTATAAAAATGAGTGGAACAAATGCTGAAGGACATCCGGCACAATGGGAGTTTCAGATTGGACCATCTTCTAGTATCGTCATTGGTGATGATCTATGGGTTGCTCGTTTCTTATTGCATAGAATAGCAGAGGAATTTGGTGTAAGATAATCAAGAGTGTATTTTAAATAATTGTTTTTTTATTAAATTTATTGGAAATTGTATTTAAAGATTGTAGTTACGTTTGATCCAAAGCCAGTGAGTGGACCACAATGGTTTGGTTCTGGAGCCCATATTAATGTGTCAACCAAAACCATGCGCGAAAAGGGTGGAATTACAACCATCAATGATGCCATCGATAAACTATCGAAATGCCATGAGAAACATATCAAAGCCTATGATCCAAATGGTGGAAAAGATAATGAACGTCGTTTGACTGGTAAAAATGCGAGCAGCTCAATTCATCAATTTAGTGCTGGTAAACGTACTCATTTACTTTATAAAAAGGACCGGATTTTTTCAGACATTCTTTATTGAATGTACTCTTCATTTGTTTTATAGGCGTTGGCGATCGATCTGCTTCAGTTCGCATCCCAAAAGGTGTGGCCGATGTTGGTTTTGGCTATTTTGAAGATCGTCGTCCGTCATCCAATTGTGATCCATATTCTGTCGTCACTGCGATTCTCACAACCATTTGTTTGAATGAGTGATTAGTTATTTAAAATATATTCCGAAGTACAAACAAATGTTGAGCATGCTAGACTTGATTATGCATTTTATTAAAGTTCAGATCGTGAATAAAATATAATTTCATGTTTGTCAATAGCTTCGGATTTTAATTTAGCGAGGTTAATGTATTTAATTGGGGCTCACTTTTCGGTAATTTTTCAGAAAATGGATGATAGTTTTCAAAAGTAGTTAAAGATTTCTAAATTTCGCTGTATATAGGCGTGACGCAAAATTGACAATTTTTTGGATTGTAAAACTTGGCCGGAAGCTATTATCGGCTCGAAAGATTTTTCCATAATGTAAAAATAATAATTTACAATTTATCAATTTTTGTGATAAAAATCATCCTTGACATTTCACTTAAATTTCAAGTTTTTTTGTGATATGAGAAAATTTGGCTTTTGAACGGTAATAATATTTTCTTCATATCATTAAACATAATTACCTTTTTAGTAATAAACGAATTCTTCATAAAACGACACATTGTTATTATAATTTCATTTGATTTGATTGCTTTTTATGGAGTGATTCACTTCCTTCGCCCGGTGGATTCTAAATCAATATAACAAGTACGTACAACGTACTCTATAAATGGAATATTATCTGTTATCAAGTGCAAAAAGCTGAACGGCAGACATGCAAAAAGAATACAATTCAATACAATACAAATACGGCTCAATTATTGTATGGCATTATAATGATACCAAATTTAGCCAGCACTTGAGCATTGTCAACTAGAAAAACAATAATAAATACTAAAAAGAATGAAATGAGTTGATGGATTGAGCGGTAGTGACTTTGATTTTATTGTTATTGCATAACAAATTATTCAATTTATTCTTATTTTTACACTTGCTGAGCGCTGTTGACGTGACTGAAGTGATGGTTTCATATTTGATGGACTTGTATTGAGTGTCAAAGTTTTATCATATCTAAATGTTTGATAACATAGTGTCATACGAACTATATGATAAAAAAATGTGAATTTCGCCACACCAATGGGAGCTTTATAATGCAACTGGCTCGGTTGGCCGTTGTAATATAACAGTGCGAGTACTTCGACTAAACAATACGCACATATTACACATCTCATTTAGTTTATTGCGAAAGTTTCATTCGAACACACGCTATTTTATACAGCTGTTTTTTTTTGTAAACAAGTAAGTGGAATATTTTTAACTATAAAATAATGATTGACTTTTTTTATAGTAGACCTGAACAATTTCAAAAAACGAATCAAACAAATTGGGATTTGTTTTGAAAATTGTAAGCGAATAGGAAACTAAACTTAATAATAGCTCTAACTTTTATAATAAAGTGTTTAAATTAGATGCACCAATAGCTTTTTAGCAATTCATCTTATTAAGTTCTACAAAATGTTGATATGCTTACGATTAAATTAATATTACTGACAACGACGCGTATCTGTGATTCATTTATTATGATCCCGTATATGCGTCCTATTCTAAAAAAAAAACAAATTTCAATATTTACAACAACCGGAAAGTCTGTGATAACGACCACGAAATGATTCAAGTATATAACTGATAGCAAAAGTGTGCGTGGGGAGTAGTATGGGGGGTTTTACCTACCTGAGGGTTTTTGGCGAAACAATGAGGACCTTTTTTTAATCAGTAGTGTACACTAGGTAAAATGGAGTTTTAAAAAAGTAACACTCCTGATTTGAAGTAATCTCTCCTCTCATTGAACTGATAACAACAATGAGTCGACTGTAAGAGATGTTATAAACGAATTAAAATAGACACCTTTTACCAAGCAAATCAAGAAGATTATATTTTTTTCTACCGCCGAATGTACGGGTGTTCCGAAGACGATTTTTTCATTTAAACATACTGAATTCATTATTATCTATTAAACATAATAAAAAGTGTAGACATAATTTAAATTTAATAATTTCCACTTAAAGTCTTGAATTACTTTGTTCTATTTTACAAGTTATTCAGCCATTTGTATAATTCTATAACAAAATGATAATGTCAAACGCCGATTCAATCTGATTTGATAATAGAGTTTCGGCTTTTTTTTACAGAGAATCATAATATGGTAGTGAAAGATAAAGCACCTCTACGTTTCTCGACCAAATTGATACAATATTAGGTTGAATATTCAACATTTTGCTCCAATGAACTCTTCCTAAAATTCGCAAATATTAGAAAGAACACTTGTCAATTTACGAATAAAAATGTCTTCTTTCAGCTAAATGAATATTCTATCAAGAGTAAATTCACTTCAGCTCGAATTTTGTTGATAAATTCTTACATTTTTTAAGAAACCAACTCGCAGGTGTAATGAGTTATTTCATAATTTACACACGTTTTGTTTACTTATATATAATTGAGTTTGAGAATAGAAATTTTTTCGATTTTAATATAAATTTTTGTGTTGCACGTATTCACAAGGTACAATTATCAATTGTCTAACGAAGAAGATGTCAAAGATAACTGAAACGCAATATTCGAAGGATAACAACATCAAGAGTGAGCAGCGAGAAGAAATCCGAATTGAAGACATTCTGGAAGAAGATACCGATGATGTATTCAAAATGTTACGGACATTCTTTTATAAGGTAACCTTGCTTAAAGCGTAAATGTTCCGAAAAAAGATGCATACTTTCCAAATGCTTCAACGAATAAAAAATTCTGTTTTCGTTCGTTCAACGTAGGATGAACCAATAAACCACTATATCGAATTGGGTGTCAGCGCCGAATTAGACTCATACACACAAAAAGCGCTTGTTGACAAATGTTCGTTCAAAGCGGTTAATGCACATGGCGAAATAATTGGTGTGATCGTGAATGCCATTGCAAAAAAGCCAGTAAGTTCAAATAATAATTTTCAACTGTATTAGTATAAATATCAATTATTTTCATTTCAGAATCCAAATGACCCAATTCACAGCTATTCTGCCGGATGTAAAGATCCAAAATTTAAGAAAATTCTCATGCTGTTTGATTATATTGATGAACAGTTTAATACATTTAAATTGTACCCAGATATTGCCACCTATTTAGATGTAGCAATTTTATCAGTAAACGCAAACTATCGTGGCTATGGCGTGGCTGGGATGCTGATGGAAAAAACATTGAAGTACATGCGAGAGAATGAAATAAAAGTGGTCAGAGTGCTATGTACAAGCTTTTATTCGGCAAGAGTCTGCGAAAAAACGGGCTTTAAAAAAGTCTATAATCTGCCTTATGCGGATTATAAGGTTGATGGCGTCACTGTATTTAAACCAGAAAAACCACACGAGGCTGTTCAAATTCTGACGCAAGAGATTAATTAGGGATTTTCTAACTATCAATACCGATGCTTTGGTCTTTTTGCAGATTTTTTTCATCTTGCAGTGATTTCTATTAAAAAATATCCGAATGTACTACTGACGACGTCAGACGTTGAATACGAAATAAATACAAA